TGGCAAGCAATATTCCCACACTCAAATCAAATTGGAACCATCATGACGTACAAATTACCCCGAAATAGTAGTAAAAATAAGGAAATTACTCATAACTTGAAAACGCCGCAACCGATTTTGATTTTTTTCTTCTGCGATTAAAAGGCGGATGATGCCGAAATAAATCTGTTATGAAAAATACAGGGTGTTCCATTTGAAAAATTCTTATGATCGTCGTCTGAATCTTACAATATTCAGAATGAAAATTTTAGCACCCTGTAGAGGATTATCTCGCAAGATTACTAGATTGGTATACGTGAGACCTTGCTACTACTGTATGCCAAAAATATTTTCGAATTTTCAATAAATAAATATACCATACCAAATTGAACATGACCCTTCAATAGTAGTAAAAATGGGTTTATCAATTATAACTTGGCAACGCCGCAACCAAATTCAATTTTTTTTACAGCGATGTAGAGCTGAACTTAAGCGGAATAAATTTCGAATGAACATTACTGGGTGTTCCATTTGAAAAAACTCGCCTTCGAGTTGCCCCGCTTTTATAAAACACCCAGAAGTGTTGGAAATATTTTTGCTAATGTGCCTGTTCCAGCAAAACATTTTATTCAATCATTTTGAAGAATTAACCCAAACTTGTTCAATTTCGCGAACCGTTCTCTCCTAACAGCACTGTACATTTTTTAAATAATCATTGAAATTCCCGATATTTCATGACATGATCAACGCGGCACAACACGTGAAATCATACACCGCGATCAATCAATCCTCATTCAGTGACAAAATTGTATGAAAAATTGAAAAAATAAAATATAGTTACTGTATGAAATTTTTCATATGTTTATCAACAAATATCTGACATTATTTAGGGGGCTTAAATTTCTACTAATTTTGTTTTCACCACCTAGTGCCCAGTTCTGCATTCCAATGGCAGATTTTGGTATAAGAAGTATGTAATTATTTTTAAGACGAATGCAGAAACACTGAAATCACGACTAGAAATTGCTAGGCAATTAGCATCGTTGCACTGGTTTATAATTTTGTACCAATAATTTCCTGGGTGATGTTAACGCACTCACGGTTTTACCTGGAAAATATGACCGTTTTGCGAACTTTCTAACGTCCGTATATAATTAAAAGTGAAGTATAGTAAACGGATTACCGCAATTAATTCTATGATACCGCAGCAGTAGTAGAACTGTACTCGATAAGTAATAGAAACATCGTCAAAAAAAGGGTTTATGATATCAATACGATTTTCATTCGGCTTCTTGTATTTTGAATGATTTTTATTCCTACAAGAATGACTGAATCATCAGTATTCAGTACCGATTTCATTTGAATATCCCATAAGAAAAAGAAACTTAGCACATGCATCTGTAAATTGCAAGTACGTCACATTAACAGGTGGAAAATTAGGCTACTCTGAACATGAAAGCAGACATTTCTTAACTTCCAAAGAAATGTTCGTGACAGCTATTGTAATTGTGGTTTGAGAATGAACATATGTTTCACTTGGTCGTTTTCCGATGTTTTTATAGCAATGCAGCTTTCGAATCATCTTGGAATATTATATTTCTACGGCTATAACACAAAATTGCTCTTGTTTTACTGTGTTCGATACATCAATGAGGTACTTTGTATGTCATCAATTTTATTTCCGTATCTGATATCACAATGAATCCATTGTGTTATTATTTCGAAAAAATCTCATCGCCCATGGATTGTCAAATATAAGGCAATGACAACTCTGTCTTATAGATGAGCATTGCTTGGGAGGAAATCAGATGGCTACAAGACGAAGATATCAAAAATGTCGCTGTTATCTGTTACAGCCGTAGAAAAATTATAGTGTATAACTCGCACAGAATGCTAATTTCCCACTCAAATGATTGCAGCATTCGCCTACGGCTCATGTTCATGAGTGTTGTATCATTTATAAATCATGTTTCGACAAGTTCAAAAATTAAAAGCCTCCTATAAACATCAACAGGCAAGGTTTTTGTTTGTAACCAATTTTCAAACTGATCTCGCATTATAATAGATAGTAACAAACCAGAAACTCTTTCCATGTATGGAACTAAAGGTGGGTACATAAATCGAATTCATAATATTATTATCACCATTAATATTGTTGGTATATAAAAGTAATAATTCCCAATTATATTGCCCACGAACACATTCTTCACACATAATGCATATAAGTAGGTCGTTTATGATATCGCCAAACCTTTCTAATACATTATAAGATAGTACTTTAGTTACATATTCAGTTTTGATTGAAACGTAGTAACAACAAATTTGATTTTTGAAAACTTCTCACGTGAATCTCATTTTAATTGGGGTTTCAAGTTAAAAAACAATTCAAAACTACATCTATCAAATTTGAGTATGCCAACAATATAAGTGATATCCATTGCAGAGAAAGCCTTAACAATTATTGTTGGTAAGACAAAAATCCAATATGTTGAGAGGGAAGTGAACAAATAATCAAAATTTTTATATCTTTATTCTGAATGTCCATATATGAAATTGAACACTTGCCTATGAATTCCCATGAAGAGCCTAAGAAAAAAATCCAATGGTTGGTCAGTGACATTTTGTTTTGAAAAATGTTTGAAGAAAATAAATATAGAAATATTGAAAAAATATCGAATTTAACTTATCTTTGGAAGTTTCGGGAACGAATCTGCTACCCTTTTCAACATGAAAAATGTAAAATTGTAATCTTTAAAAATTGTATTATAGTCTGACACATTGTCTCCGTTCAGAAGTTTGCAAGCGAATTCCTTGATTTTTCTCTTTTGGTTGTTATCTTCCTGTCCTATGATTCTATTATTATTCCACTCTGACATATGTTGCCCATTTTCGATGTGTCTTTTTCTTGATATTGTATTCATGTTCTTTCGTCCTTACTGAGAGAGGTCTCTTCGTTTCCCTTGTATGATACATTCCACAAACACTAGGTATTTTTTCTATCTCTTGAAGCGCACGAAAAAAAATTCCTATAATTTATATCAGTCATTGCATTACATTCTTCATTGATACATTTTATACCAATAATATATAAAGTATAATTAATTTTCTAGTAGGAATGACATGAATGATCAGACAGTAATTCCTGGTATAAGATCATTCATGAAGTATCATCGACTGTTGTATAATTGAAATTAGAAATAGTGAACGAAAGTTACATATCATCAAGATATCTCAAAATAACAGTCATATGTCATATTATAGTGAACAAGAAGGAAAAAAACAGTGAAGAAAAAGAAAAAAAAAAGAAAATGATAGTCTTCCAGCTTTGATCATTCCTTTGCATATTAATTTATTGAATTTCGAAATCGCCTCATGTGTAAACTTTTTTTGTCCAAGTTTACAATTTGCAGCTTCAAGATGAAAAAAAAGTTATATTGTCTAGTGTGATGACCATGAATTTGGGAATTCCTAATTAATATAACATTTGATTTAAGCTTTTTGTTGATGATATAATAGGAAATTTTGAGAGTATTGATTAAAAAGTGCCAAAGAAAATGTGTTTGTTTTCTTATACAGTTGATTCGTTGGAGTATCTTATGGAAGATGACAGAATACTTTCAATGCCATTTTATATAGAACAGAAATTATGTTGAAACTATTTTCGGATCAAGATCCCCGAATATTTATGAGATAGTTAATTCGACTGATTTGATGTATATAGGTACGTTTAGGACATCTTCTTAAAGCACCAATAATGGGAGATACTTTTTCTATGAGGATGTTAATATGCTTTTCCAATGTTAATTTCTCATCAATTCAAATACCAAGGTACTTGGTATGGGCAGGAGAGGAGGTAGGTGTTGGAATTTTGAGGTAGGTGTTGGAATTTGAGGTACGTGTTGGAATGGGCGTGTACACCTTGGTAGAACTTTTAACTCAAACCATGTTTATAATGATCCTTTCATACATAAATAATGATTGACGACATAATTCGATCGAAAAATTTACTGGAATGTTCAATTTTTGGACATAAATAATAGTATCATCTGAAAACGGACCCTCTTATGACGTAGAAACCTCATCTCGCTATAGTTAAAAGAAAATACCAAACGCCGGACGGAGACTGAGGCAACTGATATATAAATTCTTTCAACTGTGATCTTGCATTAATTCACCCTGCCAGAAATCATGTATCATTCATCTCTGTCTGGAATAGTCCTGTTTCAGTATTAGGGTTTTGACGTCACATCATCCGCCTCGTTTTCAGAGGTCTGAAAAATCGGGGATTTCAATAATTTTTTATAAAACGTAGGGAGCTCACAGCGATAAACGGTTTGCGGTGGTGAGCTAGTTTGGGTGAGTTCTATCGAATTATGGAATAAAATTTTTTTGTGATATAAGCCCATTATCCGATACAAATTTTTTATGATAGTACATGGTATTCACTATTGAAGACTGAACATGAAAATGGTAGATTCAGAATCAATTAATGAAAACATCCAAAACTCATTTCTATACTAGCATCACTAATTTATATGCCAACATTAGTCTGTCACTGAGAAGTGTCACACTATGAGACCATTTTCAAAGAATACAATTTTACATTTTTCATGTTGAAAACGGGAACAGATTCATTCCCGAAACGTCCAAAGATAAGTAAAAATTCGTTATTTTTTCAATACATCAATATTTCTTTTCGACAAAAATTTTTCAAAACAAAGTGTCACTGACCAACAATTGGATTTTTTCAGGCTCCTTGATTGAAAAAAATTTGAACACACTGACATTTTGGGGCAAATCATCTGATTTGTCCTACTACATGTACATATATTGAAGTAATACTCATATTTTCATTTTATAGAACGAGGAGAGAAAATCCCAAATAATCAAGCAAAATGAATGTACCACCTCCTCGATCTACCTACACACAGATGAAAATGTGTTTGAAAATGTTTGATTATCGAAATGTATTAGCAAATTTCAAGCTGCATCAGTATCTACATCAAATTTCATTGTTTCAGATGTACGGCACAACCCTTTTCTACCTTCTCGCACTAGCAACCTTGTGCCTGACCATCGACCAGAGAAAGTCCAACACGATCATCTCCAACCACCTCCGTGTCACCAATCCCGACCCCGACGATGCCGAACTGATGGAATTCCAAGCCTCCGGCACAAAAGCTGGCAAGAAAACAAACAAACCCGACCGAGACGAGAAAGTCAAAACGCTATCGCAACAGATAGCCGACGGCAAATACGGTCTGATACAGAAGGAACTCTTCCTCAAACCGCCCAAGAGACCCGGCATAGTCAGCTACGAAAACAACCCCGAAGTGCCCAACGACAACATCGGGAATTTGGGTGGGCTCGACAAGGACGAGATTTGGCTAGCGGAGAACCACTTGTTGGTGCTGAGAGGGGGGAAATATCCGCCCCACGACGACCGGAAAGACGTCACGAACGAATCGCCCTGGCCGCCCATCGACAACTACAAAGCCCCCCTCCACCAAGTCAAGATCCCCAAGCACCCCAAGGTACCGCCGCCCTTTCCCGTCCAGCTCTCCGAAAACGGGCCGCTCCAAATCCTGGGTACAAACTTTTCGCGAACGCTTAATGAAACAGACGAACAGACGGCCTACGCCCTACCGCCCCCCGAATTCTTCGACCCGTCAGCGATCTATAACCCTGGCGATACCAATTCGACCAACTCTTCTGCCTGGGCCGCTCAGATGCCAGTACCTGTCGACCCTTCGGGGGAATACCCAGGGGGGATGCCGTTCCCCCCACACCTCTTGAACGCGACCTTGCCGCCCTTCTTAGGATATTTGCCCCCCGGCGCCGTCGTCCTGCCACCACCAGGAAACCAAACAGACTTTTACGACTACGACGACCCCTCGATATACTATCCTCCGCCATACAGTTTTTTCTACCCTAAGGATAACTCTTCTGCGGTACCAGCTGGACCTCTTGTACCTGGTATCGTATTACCGCCGCCTCCAAACTTCTTCGCTCCTATGGACGATACTACCACCAGGCCAACCACAATTAGAAAGCCCCAAAGACAAAGGAAACCCATCACTAATACACCTAGATCCAGAACAACTACGCCAGTTCCTACTACAACAAACACAGAAACTACCAGTCGAAGAACAATTAAAATTTATCCTGTTTCCGAAGAACCTTACCTCAACGAAATCAAACCTACGGTTACAACAACAACACCCAAGACTGTTACCATTCTGTCATCTCATCCAGATCGAAGCTATCTACCAGTACCACGAATGCCAGTGTCGACTCCATCATTCAAAAAGAAGACCGGTGTCACCATATTGAGACCTGTGAAACCACCTACGTCACCGAAAGTGTATGTATACAATAACGAAATACCAGCCAAACCCTTGAGGGAATACAAACCATCAAAAATATCGGTCACTACTACCCAAGTTCCCCTGAAATACCACACGACTTCAAACGACATCGAAACCAACTCTGGGACTCAGCAAACCGAAAAGTACAGGAGTACAAGAAAGAACAAATCAGCTATGACAACTTTGAGGCCAGCTGAGTACTATTACTACGAAGAGGCAACCAATAAACCTGTGGAAACCACCCCAAGAACACCAATACGGCAGAGTTCCTATGTTGACAACAACGAAGAGACCTACGTTAAACCAAAAGTGGTATCGGCAGTAAGGCAACGAAGACCACAGTACATTTATGTAACGGGACGACCATACAATACGCAGAAGCCTAGATTCCGATTCATACAGCAGCCTGCAAAGCCTGATTCATTTAGTATCCACATCGCCAATATACAGAAGCAAATTCAACAGTTCACGACAACTAAACCAAACTATAGAACATCGTCCAAGCCCGTGTATCAGTTCAGCTTTCAAGCAGCAAATTATAAGTCTGCCAAAAATAACGATTTCAAACCTTCCCCAGTAGAATTACAAGGAGACCAGTTCAGGCCGCTACCACCAAAGTATAGTGTGGAAGTTCAACAAGCTATCGAAATCCTACCGTCTGAACGACCAAAGTTTGTGGAACACTCTCGTCCAGTCTACTATCAGCAATCCTACCAGCAGCCCAGAAAACCACCACGTCAATATTACACTACTCCTGAACCACAGTACCAATACGACACGGTAACTCAGAAAGCACAATATATACAGAACGTTGCAACTCCTCGGCCAATCACACAATTTAGCTTTGAGGTTACGCCGAACCCGATATTCCAAGGTTTCTACACCAAACCAGATGAAGGATACTTCGACGATAGGACTAGAACCTATTTCACAATGTTTGGTAAAAAGCTTCCAGCACCTACAACACCTCTACCCGGCATTGAGCAGACCACACGTCAAATACAATATGAGGAGCGACCGAGCTATCAACAAAGGCCGATATCGTTAGAAGGTGACACCTTAGTCAACTACTTGAATCCGAGACCTACCATCAATCCGGATGCCGAGTTGGTTCCTGTGAACAATCAACCAACGTATCCAAACGTCGTGAGGTATACATCTAGACCGTCTGCTGACGTACCAAAGAATGAAAACCCGGAAATCATAAGAGCCATTCCGATAGAGGTTGAATCGACTAAATCAGAGGATGGTTCATTTATATCGTATCAACTTCCAGGTGACGACGGGGCTCACTTTTATTTCCTAACGCCTCAGTTGGCACGTAGTAGGGATCAAGGGTCAGGGTTCTACTATTCACAGCCCCAGAGGTCTCGGATACGCAGGAATGAAAAGATAAACGACAAGGAAAGATGAAATAATGTGATGTGAAATTGGACGCGATGAAAATTAGTGACTCCTAGTGCCTATTTAAATTGGTCTGTGATCATGAATTTTGGTGATAAGGACATCAAAATAGAGGACGTGTCTGAATTCTAGATATTGAAAAAACAATTGATCCGGTTGATTCGCATTCTAGTTATGAATGATGAATCTAAAACTGTACAAACAAATTCATTATCTTTATTTGATGATGCGAAGTGATTCTTGGAACTTTCTGCAAGACACTAATTACTGAACAGATATAATTTAAATTAATTGGATTTGTTAGAAAATAATGAGTATTTATTGAATTTTGGTGCTATGAATATCCCTCCATAATTCGTAATATTTTTATAAACTAAGGATGTGACAAACCAGCATGAGTATGCAAAGAAATTCATCGATGAAGTATGTGCAGCTGTAGTAATGAAATTGTTGACTCCATATGTTTTTCCAATATTATTTCTTAACAAGTAATTCCAATTTTACTTTATGCTATCTCATTAAAAATAGTGGGAAAAACCCATAATTCTCGTATTGTGACAAATCAAATGAACTATATATGTAAATAAACTTAGCATATTTTGGCACGTTTTTTTTCAACCTATGTACCCATTATTGTTTGATGCATGTTGATGTCGTTCAATATACAGAGACAAGTAGGTACGAAATTTCAAAATCCTTTGATCTTCAATAATAACTGACAATGAACTTCAACCTAATATCAATTCCAAGATGGTGCTCTCACTATCGTTCTACAATTGATGCAATAAACCTCTGGTGCGCTCAGTCTTCATTTGTTTCGTCAGACTGGTTCTTGATATAAAAATTGAATTTCAGACGATGACGTGAGGTTCACATATTGAATGTTAGATGATGTGATTCCTGTAATTTTGGTACAACACCAGACTAAACTTAGCGAGATTCACCCTCGCTATGTTATATTTATCGAAGTAGGCGAAAATCAAGGAATTTTAAAACAGGAAAGGATTGAAGTGCGTACACCATTCTACAGATGTCACCACGTAAAAATGTACCACAGAAACAGAATATATATTTTTCATTCAATATGAACTTGTTTCAATTGATCAATTGAAATTTCGAGATTTTTATAATCCTTACACGCGCGAGAATGATTTGGAAAGAATAGCCGATATCTTTCCAACAGGTGTGACTCAAGAATAACCTCAGAAACTACCTGAATTTTTTTCGATTTTTTTCAGAATTATGAAATATCATTTTCAGGGCCCTCACAATCGTGTTATATGGGAGTGAAATGGGATTTCAACTCAGAATGAAGAAAACGCTAAATATGGAGAAATATGCATTTATTGTTTATGGGTTTGTTATGGAAAGTAATGAAACAATTACTTTTATTGATCAAGCACAGGCATTGGCGTACATTGCATGTAAACATCTCGTCCTTGAACAGCTACCGCAACTTTCCAGTCAGCAAGTCCGTGATGATTTCAGGGAATCAATGCCATTCCAGTGGTCAATTTCATCATATCGTTTGTCAATTATTGAAATAGAAGCTTCTCTATTTGCAAAAAGCGGTTGGTCTATTGGCATTTTCATCCACCCACTGAACAAAAATATTCCTCCGGCTCTTCTACATGTTCATGAGCATTCAACTCCCACTGGTCGGAATCGATTTCCAGATTTAATCCTATCTGATCCAACAAATAGTTAATTGTATCGTATCTAGATGTTTTTGCAAAATTCTTGAAATGTTAGAATCAAAATCAATAATAATAATTAATCCGTGGCGGTACGCTCCCGGAGCACACAAATTTGATGGTACACAAAAATGTCCTGAAATCTAATCTCGAAACATTTTTTTGAAACAGCCACTGTGAACCACATGTTGAATCATGTTTTCATTAGCCATTCAATGCATTGAAACAATTACAATATCTAATATAGTTGATGTTCCTCATTCACTCACCTTCAGGGAACATTTTTCAGTGGAAAATAATTGCACAACACAAAAGCGTTTTTTTTTGTGTCCACTCACTATTATAGTGGCTGGTTCTCAACCCAGTAAAATGATATTTTGATCCTTATAAAATACTTAGGTAATGCCCGTACAATCATGGGGGCTTAAGGAATAACGAGGTGAGCTATTTTCATATAAATTGTGAGGGCTTTTTCCAAATATTTGAATTTTTTCTTCAATCATCATTTGAGCAAACTTTCTGTTAGTCTTGTTCTCGTTTTGATTTGAGCTGATTCTTAATCTTGCTAGAACATTCTCAAGGCAATTTGATTTATTGATAGCAAATACTAATTAGTCAATTTTGGTAAATAATCAACATTCCATTTTTTAATGAAAAACAATAATGAGCGAGTGAACTGATATTGAATTATCTGTATTCAATTACTCCACTGTGTCGAGGACCTAAATTAATTTTTACAACACCTCTCACCCTCTTTATATGTAAATAATGAGTCTATGCCTTGTTCAAAATTGTTGAATTTCAGTGCTCATTTCAAACGTACCGCCATGGCCACCATTTGGCTATACGTCGAATAAATGGTGACGTCAGTTTTTATGCTGATTCGTTATTGGTCAGATAATCTTCCATTCCGATTCATGAAGCAAGGTTGTTGAGTCACCAATTATAATAAAGTTATCAAAAAGATATCAGAGTTTTGCCACTCATGTCATTGAATAAAACACGAGATAATAAGAGGAAGTCAACGTAGTATTATAATTCATTCTTCACTTTTTCGAGCAACCAGCATGTCCAAATATTTCTTATACTTTGAAACAAAATATCATGTGAATGTTGAAGACTTGGCAACAATGTGCTGAATACTGAGAACTGACAAGGCACCGCCCTCAATTCGTGCGCCATGTTGTCACGTTCACCGGTTCAAATTTCCTCTAATGTGAATTAATGTATTATAAGCAATAAGTCACAACACATGTGGGAAAATTGACAATTTATTAATTATTGAATAACTAATATTCCTGAAGTTCCCAGTTGTATTTCAACATATGGCGACTGAGCTATGGTCTGTCCCTACTTACGAAATCATGACGTCAGTTTTTACTAGCGGTAAATTTCTAGCCGTTTGAAAATTACCGTGGCATTAATGATGACTTTAGCACCTTAAAATCGATTGAAAAATTCGAAAAAAATATGGGATTGAAAGGTATTATGATGATTCTATTCAAGTAATGAAAAACAATGAGTGCACTGGCCTATTGTGCAATTATTATTGTTCTGATTTATTAAGTTATATGTTTCGTTGTATATGTATATCCCTATTATAAACAATAATGTTTCTTGGGGTAATAAAGACAATCAATCAATCAATCAAGTTGTGACAACCAATCCATTTCTAACATCTAACTGCAAACCTTATTGATAAAAGTTAAAACTTACTGTCTCATGGACTTTACAACTAGGTATCAATTTTTATTTCCTAACCAACTGCTAGTGATTAAGGGTGAGATCGTATTTTTCAAATTCAATAATTTTGGTATACATAATTTTGAAAATACTTACTTCACTTTCACAAATGAGTATTCATAAAACATAACCTCACTTTCACTAATAACTTGATCACTGGATTATTCCTTACACGGTTCACTGGCTCTTGGATGGTTTAGTGGCAATACCATTCAACTGTTACAGATTTTTATTAGTTATCATGCCTGACGACATTGTGTGGATACACATGGTGCTTGGACCAATAGAAAGGATTCATTTCACTGTCATTCTAAGGACCTCTGTGGAACTGCTGCCAAACCGATAATTCAAGGAGATTTTTCGGATAAAACATCTTATTAAAATAGGCATAAAAATAGCTCATGACAAAAAATAGAACAACCTTCATAACATGATAAAACACCCAAAACAATATAATTGACAGTGACTCACTACTAATACTTATAAACTTATTAGTTATTCATAAGGTATATAACAAAATAAAAGTATGAAGTAGTGGACCAGCAATAACCGTTGTAAGACATGTCAATTGGCGTTTTTATTGTCATTAATGGTTCTCTGGTTGTTGTTTTCCCTGTTTTAATAACTCGTTTAATATAATAAATCTTAATCAGATTATTATTTCCTAATCTGATATTTCACAGGTGAGTAGACATTTGTTCCAGTGGCTGTCTTGTTTGAGGGTTTCCTTTTGTTGATGAAATGTGTGTTTAAAACAATGAAATATCAAACAACCTCACTAAGACATTACACAATGACATTATTGTGTTTCAACATGTGAGAGTTAACTCATTAATGCACATACACACATTAATAAAAATCCAGATTCACTAAAATATCAATAGTTCAGCTAGCGTTGAGAGATAAAAAAAGATTTCTTCCCCATCTATCCTTGTCTTCAGTGTTCCAACATAAAATAATGAAAATTCGAAATACGAAATTGAGAAGATCATTCCAACCTTTTTTATATTGAGGTTAATATGATCTTCTCCATTTTTTCCATTTCCAATATAACCAACATAAAATTTCCATTATTTTAGGTTGGAACACTAAAGAGAAAGATAGATGAGGAAGACTTTTTTCTCTTTCAACGCTAGCTCAACTACTCTATTCTCTGACAATGATTCCATAAAGTTATCTCACCATTTGCAATTTCATTCATTTATCTGTGTTTGGCGTTCAGGATTGTTGACATATACTTTTCAATGATTCATGAATGAATGGCAGAATCTTCCCACCATTTGCAATTTCATTCATTTATCTGTGTTTGGCGTTCAGGATTGTTACATATACTTTCCAATGAATCATGAATGAATTGCAGAGTCTTCCCACCATTTGCAATTTCATTCATTTATCTTGTTGATGTATACTTTTCAATGATTCATGAATAAATTGCAGAGTCTATCTATTGTTATTCAAGTCATGCAAACCATCTATGCTTCTCTAAGTAATCCAATTTTTTTTCCTTCATTGTTATTCAATCTGAGGATAGACTATTTCCAATTATCAGCGTTTCTATAACCTGGTGACGCTCGAAAATCATTTCCACTAACCTGTGTTGAGTTCCTGCTCGGCACTTTCGTCCTTAAGCGGCTCGTCGAACAGGTGCAGGTACACTTCGATGGCGCACTTCGCCGCCTTGAAGTAGAACGGATGCCCGCGCAGGACGTCCTCCAACCGCAGCAGCCCCACGTACGACCTGAGAGTCATTTTTCTCATGCAGTACGTGTGAAAGTCGAATTGGTCTTCTATTATTTCGGAGAAATGCTGAAACAAATGCGGCGGCTATGGTGAAGGGAACATTTGAGTATGGTAGAAAATGAAATTGAGCACATTCATGAACCTTGTCATTCATGGCTTTTTCCATGTTTTGAATAGAAAAGTATGTGCAAATACCTATACAATGAGCCCAAGTAGCTACAATTGATCTCCGACTCCCACAAACAAACAAAATTCAAATACACAACGTTCATATTTTTAGTAATTATTACAATTTGTCGTTTCTTGTACTCCCCTTTTCATAAATCGTAAATTTCCAGAATTAAAAGTATTGGTGGAATAAAATTGCCAGGATCATAGATGAGATAGATCTAACAAAAACTGGGAGGCAATAAGACTTTGTTAAACTTGCATTCTCTTTTATGCACAGGTCGGGCTTTTATACAGAAAGCTGATTCAGAAAAAATAACTGGCATTCGGAGATTTTACAAGACCCTGCCAGTTATCACAGGAGCCTGCTAGATTGATTGAAAAGAGTAATTTGTTTTTTAATTTATCAAAGAAGATCCTTTGCCCTTAAACACTGAGGTGAAGTCTCTTGTCAATAACTCTCGGCCAATAAGTCTTGGATCATGTTTTAGTTCAATTAATTACTATTATTATGACACGGAAAAAGCACTGATAAGGCTTGCTTTTCGTGTATATGGGTTCTTTGTGAGTTTTAATGATGGATAAAAATTCAGTGTTTGACCATGGAACACGTTCTCCTTTTATTCCTGTCATGAGATAGTATCAAACAGGTTTACAGAATTTCACACACTCAAGTATTTTTCTACTCTTACCCAAAGCACCAGGCCAAATCAATATAGCATCGGTATTAAAAACTGTATGATTGCACAGTCCTGTAGGGCCAAAAGCTGCCAAAGACCAGTTCATAGGACGAAAGTCAGGAATAAAAGAATATAATTCTAGTAGCAATATCAAAAACGGAGCAAAAACAAATGTGAAAATATTGAAAATTAGGTACCAATAGCGACACCTTGCGGGGTTATGCGCTAGTATACATTTTGGAAATTGACCAAAAAAAAGATCACTGTAAAAATGCAGCGCAATCAAGGTACCCGCGGTAGAGTTCGCTGCAAGGCTAAGTAATGGCGCTAGCGGGTAAGTGTCAAAGACAAAATGAAATAATAAAATTACCAAATAATCGAGAAATTGCAAGAGATGAAATCGAACCGCATATGTTTAGAAGGGCAAGAAAAACAAATCAAATAGTAATATTTGATAGGATACATAAACGATGAGGGAGTTTCACAGAGGCTTTGTTCCAATTACTATCACATCATGAAGGTGAAACAGCACTCACCCTATCGACCTCGTGGCACTTCTTCAACGCGTCCCCGTACTTCCCGAGCCGCTGGTATGCCAGCGCACACTCCGTCTGGAACCACATGCACTGCATCTCATTGAGGTTCTCCATCGCTGACACGCCCTCTCTGGTGAATTTGCCGCACGTGTCTTCGGCCTCTTTCACGTAGTCCGCTCGCAGCATGTACTTGGCGCACTTGGAGTTGATGTACCTGTCGGCGGTGTCCAGGGCTTGGGACTCTTCCAGCCATTTGTAAGCCTCTTGGGGATCGCCGGCATGCTGGAAAAATGGAATTTCGATTTGACTAGGACACTAGGATAGCCTTAGAAACCATAGGGAAGCGCCGACCTCTCAAGGTTTGTCCATTATTAATTATAATATTTTATAATCGTTAAAACTTTCCCAATTTAGTGTATATCGTATTTTATCCAAAGGAACGAAAGATTCGTCATTGAAACATACGGCAATCACTTATAAATCCTATATGAACTTGGCGCACTTGGAGTTGATGTACGTGTCGGCCGTGTCAAGGGCTCGGGACTCCTCCAGCCATTTGTAGGCCTCTTGGAGATCGCCGGAATGCTGGAAAAATGTAATTTCGATTTGACTAGCCAACTAGGACAGCGTTAGAAACCATAGGGAAGCGCCGACCTTCGCGGTTTGATTGATTGGTTTCAGGGTTGTCAGTATTGATTATAATATTTTATATTCGTTGAAACGATCACACGTTAGTGGGAATCATGTTTTAACCAAAGCAACGAAAGATTCGTCATTGAAACATACGGCAATCACTTATAAATCCTATATGGACTTTGCGCACTTGGAGTTGATGTACCTGTCGGCCGTGTCAAGGGCTCGGGACTCCTCCAGCCATTTGTAGGCCTCTTGGGGATCGCCTGCATGCTGGAAAAATGGAATTTCGATTTGACTAGCCAACTAGGACAGCGTTAGAAACCATAGGGAAACGCCGACTTTCGCGCTTCGATTGATTGGTTTCAGATTTGTCCAGTATAGATTATAATATTTTATAATCGTAAAAATGATCACAAGTTAGTCTAAATCATATTTCAACCAAAGCAAGGAAACAGTCATCATTGGAACAGGCGGTAATCACGTATAAATCCAATATGTTCTTGGCGCACTTGGAGTTGATGTACAGGTCGGCCGTGACCAGTGCTTGGGACTCCTCCAGTCATTTATAGGCCTCTTGGTTATCGCCGGCATGCTGGGAAAATGGAATTTGGATTCGACTAGAAAACTTGGACAGCATAAGGAACCATAGGGGAGCGTCGACCTTCGCGCTTTGATTGATTGGTTTCAGATTTGTCCAGTATTGATTTATTTTAACCAAAGCAAGGAAAGATTCATTATTGAAACAGACGGCAATCACTTATCATATATTATGTACTTGGCGCACTTGGAGTTGATTTACCGATCGGCCGCGTCCAGGGTTTTACTATATTAGGGTCGTCTGCCATACTGAATCCAGAACAATTTCAGATTTTTTATATTGTATAGTTATCAGAACCAAAACTGTGTGATTTTTTATAGGGAGAAATTTTTCAAATTCCAATCACCCATACAGGATTAGGAACAATTTTTATTCATTCAAAATGAAAGGAATTTTAGAACTTCTGAAAAAAACAGGGTTGGGCAAATCTTGATTTAAAAAAAAAATCAAAAATCATTGATTTAAATAAAAAAATCATGATTTTTTTGGTTTTTTTTTTATATTGGTCTTAATGCGCGATAAATATAGGTACCTGTCAACATTCATGTCAACATACTCTTTCAAATGCCGTGGAACAATGGAAAAACTTAGAATATATCTTTGAAGAAGATCAAAATCTATCAATTCAACAGCTTCAAAAATTTCAGCGCCGATATGAACAAGCACTGACCCCTTACCACTTGATAGCTTATATGATGGACCCATCTAAGCAAAAGTACTGGTTGACTGTCAGTGAAAAAAATTTGGCTTTAAAAACTATAAAAGAAATGTATAGTAATAGTGGATTATTACCATTACTAATAAAATTTAATGCTCGTTCTTTGCCCTTCAAAAACATCATGTTCTCTGAAGAAATTACGAAAAACGTCAGTGGAATTCAGTGGTGGCTATCACAAGCTGACAATGAATCAGAAATCAAGAAACAGATACCTGTGTTGAAACAATTTCTTTGTGCTATTGCTTCTTCAGCCTCAGTGGAACGAGTGTTCAGTACCTTTGGGCTGGTACATTCAGATTTGAGAAATAGACTGGGGGTTGAAAAGGCAGGAAAATTAGTATTTTTGTTTAAATATTATAATGAAAATTAAAATGTTCTATGTTAGTTTCAATGTGAGAAAACTCATGATTATAAAATAATGTAGAGTATGATTGAGATATGCATATACAGGGTGATTCAAAAGTAAGCGGCATCCTTTCAGAGGCGTATTCCTTGCTTGAAAATAAGGCAAAAAGTTCCTATTGATAAGGATCCGAAAATGCTTCCTAAGGGAGCTACGGCCCTTTGAATAGGACACCTCAAAGACGGTTTTTTCTCTATAACTTTAAAATCCTTCACAACAAATTTTTAAAAATTGGTGTACGGCATAAACATTCGATGGTAAATAGGACTCCGTATTCGAAATTTCAGAATTTCATTCAGGGGCGTCACATGCGGGACAGGGTAAGTGTAAAAATATCCCTTCTTCTCCGGATATTCAGGTTACTGTGATTTCGTTTGGAAATTATTTCGAATACGGAGTCCTATTTACCATCGAATGTTTATGCCGTACACCAATTTTTAAAAATTTGTTGTGAAGGATTTTAAAGTTATAGAGAAAAAACCGTCTTTGAGGTGTCCTATTCAAAGGGCCGTAGCTCCCTTAGGAAGCATTTTCGGATCCTTATCAATAGGAACTTTTTGCCTTATTTTCATGCAAGGAATACGCCTCTGAAAGGATGCCGCTTACTTTTGAATCACCCTGTATATGTTTCAATATCCCTTTTTTTTAGGGGTTTTACTATTTTATTTCACTATAATATTTTTTATTATTCAAATAAATAATAAATGTTCCCGAAATTATTATTTTGATTTAAATTGTGATTTAAAAAAAAAATCACTTGATTTAAATCATGATTTTTATCTTGATTTGAATCAATTGATTTAAATCAGCCCAACCCTGGAAAAAAATAACTCACCTTATATATCCTCCCTTTTGTGACGAAGAGCTCGATCAATGTTGGCGTATGCTCTATCGCCGCGTCAATGTAGCTTATCGCTTTTTCAGTCTGATTCAGGTAATCATAATGCTGTGCCAGATAATAGTACACCCACAATAAAGCACTGGCGGGCTCCTTTGGGCCGTTATTGGCCTCCCCCTCGCTATATTTCCCGATTTTCTTCAAGGCCTCCACGTATTGCAACAGCAAGCCTTCTATCGTTTCGGTCTTGCTGCGATCGGAATACAAACTCCGCAAATCAACGAAAAGCGGCGGAACGCCCTTCGACAAGGCTTTTCTCATGTACTTGTCCACCAAACTCCTGAACTGTTCCCCAGTGGCGAAGTTCAAGGGCAGCCTCCTAGGCGGCATCGCTCTGGGAAACTTTTCCGCGTACCTGGAGCAATAGAGCATTGTCAGTACCGTCATATGACGTAAAATTGTCGGCCACTGAACCTTGCACATTTGCCACTATAATACAATACCTGGAGCATTTATTCATTGACATGTTTGTTAATTTATTTATCGTGAACACTGTGAGAAGGGTGAATGAGTCCAATGATTGGTTTTGGTAAAATAAAAATAAACGGATTTGAATGTTTTCAAGAAAATTACATTTGACATACAGACTTGTTTTGATCTGTTGAACTTGAATATGTTTCATTTGAAAAACAAAGTTGCCTCTATTTCCGGAAAAAACCGGAAGTCCGCCATTTTTATTGTAGTATGATCAAATCCGAAATGGTTGCTAATATAACTGTACCAAATTCCAGAAAACTTGATTGAAATATGATTAATGCTTTCCTCGTTTTCAAACAGAGGCGGTAGATCTAGCTAGAGCAACCCCATAGCAATCCGCAGTAATTTTTAATAGTTTCGTCTCCCCTCTTTTCATATGTCTATAATTCTACCTCAGATAAAAATCGACGATGTCCTTCGGTTCGGTTAGTTGCCTCGCTTCGATCAATTTCCCGTAATAGCCGGTATTCTCGGGGTTTCTTTGGACGAGCTGTTCGTAGTATTCTCCGGCTTTGGTGTGTCGGTTCAGCTTGAGGTTGAGGTCGCCCAGGTTTTCTTTGAGGGTGAGCTTGTCGACGATTTGTTCTTGGGAGTCTTCTAAATGCCTCAGCGCCTCCTTCAAATCTCCAGATTCTTGGATTACGAGATTCTGGTATAGAAGGAGTTCACTGTGTTCATAGTCAAGGTTGCTTACTTTCTGAAAGTAATTGAAAAAAGGTCAGCAAGTGATAGGACCCGATGGTTTTAGTGGAGTGAAGATTCGAAGACTGTTGATGAGTACAAAAATACTAAGAACAAAAACGAAGAAATTTTGAAATATATCTGCGTGAGCGACTGCTATCTTCGGTAGACGTGAAAAGATAGATGACTTTTCATCATGGAATTATTATAATTTCGATATAATATATGAACTATGATATAATAATTTGTTTATTGGTATCCTATTTTCTCTATTTAGAGGACGCCTCAGCGTGTTTCCACTATCGAAAACTCGCGTTACCACGGCAACATCAACGATCTGGGAAACATATAGTCTGAATGACAACGTTGTAATAATGGATCTGACAGAGTACGATGACAACAAAGACATACTGACGTCACATCACGAATATCAATTGATATCCACTTATACTTAAATATACTATATCATTGTATTTTGTAAATGTCTAATATCGGCAAGACCTAACCAAGTGCTATGTGACCAGAAATTCAGTGAATATCCATTGGCGATTTGGCAACTGCACTCTGCACAAAATAACTAGGAAATATAAGAACTGAATCTGCTGATTCTCCTTTGGTGTGAATTGACAACACATATCTCACAAACTTGTAGCAAAAGCACTTATTCTTCAAATATCTTAAATCAAACAGCCTGTATAATGTATCTAGGACAAGGATTTAGATTTTAGAACCATCCGAGTAGTGTTGTACATGAAATCCTTACCTGCTGCTCCAAAAAAGTTTCCAGGATATTCAAAGCATTTTTGTACTCCTCTAACAAATGGAAAGACATGGCATAACCAATCCAGGAAGCCCTCTGTGTCGGACGTAACATGAGCAGTTGATACCTTGTGTCCTGAAACAAATGCCAGCTATACAATTTGGATGTAAAAAACTTCACAAATGATAAAACTTCTACAAAAATCTTGACTACATACTCGTACAATATACCTGTTTATTGTACCTGTATTTCCCTTAAAAAATCTACTGTGTTAGCGAAACATGTTGTGTTATTTAGAATTTTGTGGAAATCCTATTGTTTGTGAAGTTTTTTACATTTACTATAGATTTCCATCATTAATCGGCCGAGTAAATTCAAAATATACAATTTGGATTGACTACAACTCATCAAGGGAGAATTCACCAAGTCAGGTTAGGTAGCCTTGAATTATGGTGTACTCAATATCCTAATATTCCTTCTATTTGAGATTTGGTTCTGCTAGCTTGACGATTAAGCCAGCAAAACCCATGATTCAGAAAAAAACAATGTGCGAAAAAATCGGCAAAAAGCTAGGATTAGAGCCTCAAATTAGTCTTAAATTAAGGTTAATTAGTTTTGTGATTGAAATTTTATTAACATAGTGGTTCTGCTAGCTTAACGTTGAGCTAGCAGAACCCACTTTTTTTTGGCATAAATCGGGGAGCAATAAATTCGGCAATAGGGTAATAAATTAGCCTCAAATTACCTTCAAATTATGACTGAAGGAAAAATTAAAAAGTCCAAAGTGGTTCTGCTAGCTTAATGAAGGTCTATTAGACAAGCCATAAGTACTATAATATTGGGCGTATCAGAATGAAATTCAAATGGTTATGTGGTATGTGAGAAAGAAAGTTTTCGCATATTTTTCACTTTCCGGTCACTTCCAGTTTCACCGGAAATGTCTTCAGTTTTTAATTTTTAAAAGGACCACACTGTATATTGTGACATTTTTGAATTACTGAGACAAATCTGGATCAGAATATGACGTTTTCAGAAGTTTTAACGACTACTTCATTTTTTTACAAACTTAAACTTATCTAAAGACCTCAGGTGATGTCAGAAAAGTATAATCACAAAATTTTAGTGACTAGTATGAAAGATAGGAAGAAGACTAGTTGACCAAATTACATTTCCGTGTCCTACTATTATTTATCAAATGGCAACCATTTCTTGACAAGCACTTTCCGAAAAAAGGTTTTTTTTACGAATCTAACGATACTTATTTATTTGCGATTGGATTCAAAATGAGAACATGAATTTATTTATTCACATTTGTGAAGGGTGCCATGGATAGTCATAATGCGTAATATATTGCAGTTATTTTTTAGTCTTCTTTGGATAATTCAAAAATATTATACTATACATTTAAAAATTCAATACCGGAGCCCGAGCCGGAGCCATTTCTGGTGAAATCGGAACTGTCTTCTTCACATACAATATACCCATGTTGAGTTTCATTTTGATACATCGAATATTCTAGAAGCTATGGCTTGTCAAATAAATTCGTTGACACCCGGTATCTTTATTAGTCATCTGTCAGCAGGGTTGGCAAATATGATATTTATATAAATATCCAAATATCCCAAATATATTGATATACAGAGAAGTGCACAAGAAACGGCCAGGACTGTAACTTTTGAATTATTCGAGTTCGAGATAGGGTATTGAAAATTAGTGGGCAGCTAGTATATCGAATTGCTCATTACGAAACAATTTTTGTTCTATCACTTCACTTAATGGAAACGACCCACTTTCAATTTTTAAATGGGACACCCTGTATTGTATTCCATAGGTAGGTTGCATTCGGCCGTTACCACCGATACAACAAGGCCTGCATGCTCCGTGGGTGACGTCACTTAGTGTTAGTGAGGCCTAACCAGCGGCTCGAAACGACAAGCGCTTATAGCGCTATAAGGCGACTGCGTATTTCGATTTTAGTTTTAGATCATCATTGAGCCGATTTTGCTGTTTTTTGAAGGGCTTCCGGTTGAAAAAGGATGCCAGTCGTCAACTGAGCCCTTCTTCGCACCCCATTCGATTTTATTATGGAAAAACGAAGTTTTAAAGCAAAAACCAGGATAAAACACAAATATCCACCTACAGCAACCCATTCGAATTAAATATATTGGCAAAAATTGTGGTGAAGGTAAACTTCACACCTACTTATACAGGGCCCGCAGAACATAAACTTATCGTGAGATTGATCGAAAGAAAATTGTGGAAAATGTATTTTATTTTGATTGACCGTTTGTTACAATTACCTATATTTATCTTGGAGAATTCCTATTACCTGACAAATTTTGAAGGGTAAAACTGCATTTATCATGCGATGGTTTTTTTTTGAAATTTTTTTTCGGTACTCACGTATTTCTGTCTGATAAACCGAATTTTATAATGAAAATGTGAACAAACCACTATTTATTGAGATATTTCAAGAAAAAGTTCGAAATTTCGCCTTCTTTCTCCTCTTGTGTTGGGGGCATTTGAAGCTACTTGCTCTTATTTTGTCATTGGACATTTTATATACTCATGATGTACTTCGATGGCACATTTTTATATAGAAAATTCAACAGGAAATATGATTTTTATGTCGAGTTTTTCATATTTAGTGAACAAGCATTCCAGATGACGACCATTTAATCAATAGTCAATCAAAATACGAGATGTCAAATGTCAATAGATTGCTTTCGAATGAAATTACACACGCCATTATTTTGAATGATATTCTTACTTCTTTTCACTAAATATGGATTAATCTCAAGAAAATCATATTTATAGTTGAATTATATATAAATTGTCCAATATGATGAAAAAAGAAGGGAAATTTGTTCTAAATGCCATCCAGAAGACAGGTGAAAAAGAAGGTGAAATTTGGAACTTTTTAGTCAAATATCTTCATGATAAATATCAAGATAAATGCAATTTGATCATTGGAATGAATTCTACATTCATTGCCACGAGGCAAATGACCGTTTTCAGAAAGAAATTTGAGAATGAGAATCAAAAATGCCCGTTTATTATGAACATTCAAGAAAATTTCCTCGAATTCAGAGATGATTTTGTTGACTATAATATACTAATACAAAACTAACTGCACAATCAAAGCTTTTCTATTTTTCCTCTACTTATACTTTTTATGAGAGAGTAATTGTCTTCTATTATTAATTCATCATTATAAATTAAGCTCTGTTTACTACTGAACTCAGATGGAGTAAAATCCTCGCGGTGAATTGCATACACTTACCCACATTTTCGATAGCTCCTCGTCCAACGGGAAACTAAAAGCATGAACTTTTGAACCACCCACATAATTTCCCTGACAAAAAGGAACACAACACTTGAAAGGCATTGTTATTTCGCCGATCACAACACAAAATATTTCACAAAACAGTAATTTTTCCGCCAATTATTTTGATGAATAAACAACAAAAGAATTCGGGACCGTTTCAAAAACATACGTGAATCACCGATGAATTAACAGGAACTGACGCGTTAGTCGACAAGCGATAAAATAAAACACTGGCCTCTCTCGGTGACGTCACGAGCTGTTTACGTCAGAGTCTGCTGGCCTTGTTGTATCGGTAACGGTAGAAGTCTCTTTTCAACTATACCCGAGTTTTCCATTTTTTGTTGAACAGTTTACGAAAAATGCCGTTCTAAACTTACAGAAGTAATCAGACCATGCCTGCACTGATATCTGGACTGATATGCATGGTTTTCAGGTTGGCATATTGTATTGACCCTTTCAGTCCAAATGGTAGGTAGATTTTGAATGCATTTCAGTGCAGGCATGTTCCAATTACTTCTGTAAGTTTAGAACTGCATTTTTCTGTTGGAAAAGGAATTGAACATGAACACCCTTTGAAATAATGTGCACCTTGATGCCCTTTTTATATAAGATTTTAAGAGTAACAGTGGTAACACCTACCCCTCCTAGGGGGTTAATCCAAGAGGACTAAAAATATTCATTTTAAGTGACCCCCTTGAAAATAAAATTGACCTGTCTTCTCGATTTTCCATATTATTTACTGGAAGGAAGATATTGAGGGTGGGAAGTTTTCGAAATATTGCCCTGTATATTCTTCAGTATTATAAAAACAGTTTTTTGTTAGGAACTCTTCAATGAAAGTCGTAAACGGACCGATCGCCATGCACCTCACTGTATCAGGGACCTTATAGATTATAATTGAGAGAATTTTTCTTGCTGACATCAAGTCTAAACCTTTGAGGTTTACCATTGATATATTACTGACTGCAGATAGAGAGGATCTTTTTGACTATGGATTTGAATCAGTGTGTTGAATATGTAAATTGCCGGGAGTGACATTATGCCCAATTTTGTGAAGAGGACAAAAGCGTTCATGGGGACGAACTTTGGATAATATTCTTATAGTCTTTTTTTGGAACCTGAAAACTCTTATGGAATATGTGGTGCCCCCCCCCCACCCCCTCCATAGGACGGTGTTATAGGAGACGACTGTGTGAAAGAGAAAATAATATTTTGTTCTTTGAATTTCTTTCAACCTACTGAGTTGCCTAAGTAAAAAAAAAAGCACACTCCCTAATTTCCTCTAGATTAAATCAATGTGGTTGCACCAAGAAAGTTTAGTATCAAGTACTACAATTTCCAGAATATTTGCGTTTGCAGTAATTTGGTCCATTGTGTTCTTTGAAAAAATTTGTTTTTGTATTTTCCATCAATTTGAAGAGAGTTTATTTCGTATACAGAGTGGGCCTTTGAAAACGAAACAGAGGCTCTGTAGGTCGCCAAAACCGGATTATGAAAAGAATCTGAAACACGTTCACTACATTTTCGAGATTTTTCAACTTTAACATTTTTTTGTGTCGAAACAATTTATTATTGGTCAAAACGACTCCCATGTCCCTATCTCAACTTGTGATTCACTATCTACTAACATTTAATTGGAACAGATACAGGGTGATCAGAATTCTGAATCTTTAACCACCCTGTATTTGTTTCAAATAAATGTCAGTAGATAGTAAATCACAAGTTGAGATAGGGACATGAGAGCCGTTTTGACCAATAATGAATAGTTTCGACACAAAAAAATTTTAAAGTTGAAATATCTCGATTTTGAACACTTTATATCCCTGAAACCATTACAGCTAGACCCTAAGTGCCCAAGTGTGATGCATTGATGAATTCAGCTCTTCGGAGAGAATCTAAGAATGCAATAAAATACAAGGTGTTCCATTTGAAATAACAAAGTTGTTGCTTCTTCTCGTTAGAAGCGGCAACGCCGCAGGGCTGAAAATATTTTAGAACGATGTCTCCCTTGAAAATGTAGTTGACGTGTTCCAGTATTTTTTAATAATCCGGTTTTGGCGACCTACAGAGCCTCTGTTTCGTTTTCAAAGGCCCACTCTGTATATCAGTAAATAGTGAATCAAAAGTGGAGATAGGAACATGTGAGTCGTGTTGACTGATAATGAATAGTTTTGATACAAAAAATCCCAATGTTGAAAAATCTCGATTTTGAGCACCCTATATCTCTGTAATCATTTTCCATAGACCCCAAGTGAATACATGGATGAAATCAGCTCTGCCGGGAAAATCTAAAAATGCGATAAAATATGAAATATCAATGTTGCTACTACTTTCTAGTAGAAGGAGCAGCACTGCAAAAATATTTCAAATGAAGAGTGTATTTTCATGGATTTTTCCCGACTGACTCTCTGGAGGGGACATTTTTTTTCTTGATAACTTTTGATAGTTTAGGTACATTTGGAAATTGACCAGTGGAGAACATGAGATTTATCAAGGAGTTCATTGGTCCCAATAAAATATCTGAAGATTCATTAATAAAACCACTATGCAGGCTATGGATATCAGTTGACATGGAATTTTTTAAATTGAGGATGACTGCAGATACCTCTGCTTCATCCACATGCTCCAGGAAGAATGAGTCACATGGTGCTGGAAAGTTTTTGAAATTGTTCCAACCATTCACATCCAATAATGTTTTCAGCTACATTTCCAAAAAACTGATTAAAGTGGTCTGGGGACCTGCACCTTACTCAATCAGTGATGTACTCAATTCACTTTTACCATTTTTTGTTAATTTTTCACCCTGTTTGTTTGTTATTTAACATGTTGGCTGTCATGTGGATTACCAGTGATCCACAAATATTTAGTAGCATACTGCCATCTGAATCACATATGTTTCACATACATAATATATTAAAATCACTTACTAAGCTTATTCAAGCCTTATCTGTACAACAAGTTGCATAGAAGGTATGTCCAGGATGTTTGTCAATAGGTATGAAGGAACCTTCTACAAGTTATGGATGCCCAGAACCTTGCCCAGAACATTCTTGTAGCAATAATGACATGAGGAAGAGTAAATATATGATAGATCAAGGGCTGCAGGAAAAACTGAATAATTCCTTGATGTATGGGAGGATTTCAAAGAATCACCATCAGAATATAGCTTATTATTATTATCAGTTCTTATTGTTTTCATCTGTACACTCATTGTATCATTGATGATACACATTGCCCATAGAAGACAGCAAATAAGTTGTGAGAGCCATGTGGATTGTGGATCACTGGTGATGTTTTGAATTTTAAAAATATATATCATCATCTTTGGTCATTTCATGAGTATCCAGATCCAATAAAATTGTGAGAATTATATTTGTTCGACTATCTCAGCTTAGCCCCTGACAGAGCCACTCAACTCTCTTCTGATGGTAGCCAAGGTGTTTTAAAAATTGATCTGTTGCTCATTCCAATTTCAGTTCATCATGTTTTGTAAAATATTTTATCTGCTGAGAGTACATACCTACTGATTATTATAATTATCTTTGTATTTTTCCATGAATGGCAATGAATGAACAATACTTTCAAATGATTTTGTCAATTTTTTACACAGCAAAATAAATTGGTAGAGGTCTGACAAATTTGACAATACTGTCCCCAGTGGACTAAACCAAATCCATCCTAGTTTGATTATAAGTTCAAATGGTATCCACCCATCCATCATGTACCAACTAATTTGAATGCTTCAACATCAACATTGCATAATGTGGTAATAAGGCCTGATAATTCAAAGCAATATTTTGAATGAAAGTTTCAGGTTGAAGAATTAGGAACCAAAGATCCACCAAATTGCTTTAGATTCAGTTAGAGGATATCTGGTATCTTCTCAATCCATCAATAAAACACCACTTACCCTATAACCCTCCAAATCACGCATTTGAATTTGGAGCAAAGACAAATCTCTTAATATTTGAATATTGTCCTTCTCCCATTTGAGAGCATTCCTGTAACATTTGATTGCTTCATCATACTTCTTGTCAGACCTTTGTAGAAGACCATAAACATGCCAACATACATGGGACTTGAGATCATTTCTTAGACCTCTTCTAACATACTCATAAGCTTCTTCTTTCCTTCCTAGGCAGTTCAAAGTCAGTCCCTTCATAGCAAGTGTCTCTAAAAAATTATAATTGTGATAAGAACTATGAGAGATATAAATTTCAAGAACATACCTCCATGTTCAGTGTACTTTGGATTGGATAAAATCTGCTTAGCAAACTTTAGCCCATTTTTGTATTGTTTTTGTTCATAACATCTCTGAAATAGAATTAGAATGAGTAAACAACTACTATCGGCCAGACAGCAGAAATCATAATCATAATCAGTTGACTGCTTGGTGCTTGGTAGTTTCTACATAAATTAAGCTGCATTTTAGAATGACAATCGGAAAAATGTGATTTTATTTTCGACAAAAATATTGAAATAATGCATATCAGCACACCTAGTCCAATAATACACAAGAGGAAATGCAGGGAGTTGAAAAAATGCCAATATTTTGGTATCATCAGTCTGTGGGATATTTTACTGACATAAATACTAACCAATATTCTTTTGAATAAGGCATTTTCTTTCGGTGGTAACGGATTACTTGAGGGCATTTCTGATTTCTCACTGGAACTCTGAACGTTTTTAAACCCGGTAAAATTAAATATTTTAATTTTGGAGGATGAAAAACCTCGTGGCCACAAACCTCTCAAATGTCGATCGCGGTCACGTGATTGACACTTGACAGTAATTGACAATTACGACAGAGATTATCGGTATTACAGGCAACTTACTTACGTTATGCATGTTTGCATGAACGTATCATCGAATAGGAAAGGAGGGATAATAACCCCAACTTTACAACAACCCAAAGATAAACGGTACAGTCGTATTCAATAAAAAAGCGTACAAGTATCAAAAAGAGAGAATTTCGGGAGTCTAGTTCTAGTTGTGTAAAACTGGCTCAGCCAATGCTTTGTGTTTTCAAGAACCTATGACAACTTTACTGTCAACATTTGGTGAACAATCATCCCCGATAGCCCGTTTTATGCAGAATAGGATGACGTTAATTTCTCTCTGTATACCTGTACGCTTTTTTTTAATGCGACTGTACAAAAAGTCGGTTAAAGCTGAAAACTTAGAAATGCGCATATTTTGCATCATTTTGTTTTTTTTTTTTTCTTGCATGACGGTATTCAAGTTACATAAAATAATGATACAATTGACTTGCTTACCCAGACAACCAGATGACGTTTCAGTAACGTCTTTTTAAGTCAGTTGAATTACCAATAAGGTGACTTCAGGAATTGACGCCGTATGACGAAGTGAAAAATTACGTGAATAAGTCATACTGAGCAATGACGTCATATATTACTAACGAGACTGCTTGGTGGTCCTTCCGGTTTCATGATCAATTCAATCGTCTATTCAGCAGCGCTATCCTTTAGTACGCATCTCCATCAGAATGAGATAACTTACTCGCATTTGTATAAACAGTTATGTAGTTTTCGTCGGCGAGATGTATAAGCAAACCAAGAATAGTTTGATAGCAATATAATGGATGTTGAAGAATTTAGCTTCACTTTGTTGAGTAACGTATATTCATGCATTATTATTTATTGTCACCCAACAAAAATCAGGATTGCAAAATTTTGACAAATTTTCTGAATGACGATATATAAGCCTACCAACTTGGTACATCACACCGACGTGAGTTTTAGGCGTCACAGATACGTCACTGCAACGTCATAAAAGTGACGATTTCAATAGGTACTCCGCCTATTATCGTTTGTATATTTACAAATGATAACTTCCATCTCTTCCAACTCCACTTGTATATACAGGGTGTCCCAAACACGAAGGCCTATTACACGTTTCTGGAGAACGGAACATGAGATTATTTTGAAAAATTAATGTCATGGGTAGTCAGCCAAGGGCGTACCCAGGATCTGAACTAGGGGGGGGCAGCTTAGGCAAGGGAACTAGAAACTACCGAGAATCAGTATCAATCACCAGACATGCCATGCTTCAACTGAGACGTTTTTTTTTAATCTTAATAAACATAAGTATTTTAATTAACTCTGTTCTTTATTATATTTTCATCTTAATAATAATCTTCTCGGGTTCGCTGCAAATTTTTCCATTACTTTTGTTTCCACCATTTTACGGTTTTCTTCCACAAAATTCCGATGTACGCTCATCAAGCATAATCCAGTCAGCCTTGTCTCACCCATAGTGCTCCTAAGCCAGAATGTAACAAACAGTGTTTCCAGCTGCTGAAGATGATATGTCGCCAAAAGTTAGGAAAAAAACCGCTAGAAGTTGCCAAAGCGAGCCAAGCGAGCAGAAAGCCTGCTGCAGGCGAAATTTTTGTAAATTTATCGACTTTTTTTCGTGATTTAGCGACATTTTTTGATCATATTTCATCATTTTCAGTTGAATTTTCCTATACCTATAGGTAGGCACATTGGTAAATCACAACATACATTATTTTTCGATAATATTTAGGTTTGTCCTTGATCTTGTCACACGTTCATAAACCTGTCAAACCATAACCATGTACCTATCAACTCATATTTCTAGTTCAACATCATACAGATCTGCGACTTCATCGCAAATAAAATATTCGTTCACAAGCATCACAAGTTTTTAAACCATATCGAATAAACAAACAGGTATACGGGTACGATAGCAACAGCGTTGCCAGATACCGCGATTTATCGCAATTTAGGTTACTTTTTTTGTTGGTTCTTGCGATCAAATTATGTTCTTTGCGATAAGCGACTTATTTAAGCTATTTATGAACTTGTAATCAGAACTGATATAAAAACACAATACTTCAACAAAAAGATTTAAAATCTTTCTTTATGAAACATCATTATACAAAATTTTCAGTATTCGGGAAAAAGTCAAGTGGCAGGATGACTTCTAGGGGGGGGGCAGCTGCCCCCCCCCTGCCCCTCGCTGGGTACGCCCTTGTAGTCAGCTTTGCCCAATCAATCAAAAAATATTTTTAACGCTGCGTTGTTGCCGCATCTATGAAGAAGTAGCAACAACCTTGTTATTTCGAATATAACAGCAGCCTGGTATTTTGCGTTTTCAGATTCTTCTTAAGGAGCTGATCATTTCATCGGTTCATTACACTTGAATGGGGTCTATCGATCGGGAATGATTACAAAACGGCTTCTATGTCCCTATATCTCAACTTTTGATTAACTATCTACAGTCTCTACAGACATTCAATTTTAACAATTACAGGGTGGTTCAAGATTCAGAATTCTGATCGATCACCCTGTATCTGTTCCAATTATCAAATGTCAGTAGATATAGTAAATCAAAAGTTGAGAAGCGGACATGATGAAAGCCGTTTTGACCGATAATGAATAGTTTAGGGTGCGTTTTTCATTCCAACATTTTATCATGCGCATGAATCGAAGAAACCATGAAACTGTTGCAAAATTCCGCTGGAATGTTGATGGACATCCATCAAACTGTTGTAATAAAATGCGCACTTTTAAATCGCATTTCCAGAATCCAGCAGTTTGGAGGAGATTGACATGACAGTTGACACATTTTAGTGTTGATTTTTGTTTTGATTTGATAGAAAACAATTAATATTGAGGATTTTTGAGATTTTAAAAGAAAGAGTCAGTGTTAATCAATAAAGTCGAATTAGCCTTTTCTGATTCTCAAGATACATGATGACTGTCACACAACAAAATCCGTGTTTCCATCAATGTGTTGTATAAACCATTGTTCTATCCTTCCAGCATATAAATTCCAACAGAACAATTGGTGACGTCACGACAAAAAACCGCATCTATCAGTGCGCACTTTCTTCGATGGAATGAAAAACACGCCCTTATTCGTCACAAAAAAAATCCGAAAGTTGGAAAATTCCGCTTTTGAACACCCTATATCTCTGTAATAATTCCCGCTAGACCCAATGCAAGTGTGATGCATTGATCAAATCAGCTCTTCACGGAAGATCTAAAAATACAATGAAAAATAGGGTGTTCCATTTAAAATATCAAATAGTATACCCTGTAGATCGTTTGTTTCGAGCACCCTGTATTTTCTGATGTAGCGAAAAAAACGTTATCAAAAATCACCTAAGATGATAGGTACTTAAGATTTTGAAATCGGTTGAAAAATAACTGAGCTATAGAGGGATAGGGGGACATTTATGGTGAATCACCCTGTACATAGCAACGATATGGAACATTTGTTGTTGTTTCTTTCTTAAAGTGCGGTTCTAGTAAAGTCGATATCTGATTCTCTGAGATATGTCTATGCAAAATATTATTTGTTTTTTCTATGTATGTGAAATCTATTCAAAACATCACTAATGCAAGTTTATTCACGACTAATATATTATACTTGTGGTTTTTGAAGTATAATGCCATATATTAATCCCGCAGGGAATAAAGACTATTAATCCCTCGCCATTATTCCCTGCGGGATTAATATATGGCATTATACTTCAAAAACCACAAGTATATATATTAGTCGCAAATAAAGTAGAGTATACTACTCGCAATAATGGCTATTATTCTCTCGGAATGTTACTCCCTCGCCGCTAACGCGGTAAAAAATCCTCGAGAATAATAGCTATCATTATTGACTCGTGGTATAATCTACTATTAATCCCCTTCAAGAAACTTTGAATAATTATAGGAAAATTGGACTTATATTCCCACACCTAAAAATGTCACCTCACAGGACTAAAACTAAGTATACACTGTATTTCGGGAAAACTCAAGAATCATGAAATATGCATAACTGAATTTCTGACGAATTTACCTATCCAATGAGGGGTGGTACCGTGTGTATATAAATGTGGTGTTTTGGGAATTGCTTAGAACACTTATAACAATCTAATCTTTCTAGATATTATTAATTCTGGTTTATTTTATGAAATCACCTGGTGTATGGGCTAATGCAGTTCCTGGACTGTGACCCTGTATGAATAATTATTATAGCTAACTGGATTCAATGATAGTCAAGATAAATAGATTTCATCTTGTAGAAATCTCAACGATTTTCTTATAAGCTACAAATTTTAGCAAGATGATTAAGAAAAATATTCACTTGTTTCACATTAGAAAATAATGTGATAGTTTTCTATGTTTATCATTTCAAATAACCCTTATTGTAACTTGGATGCTGAAAAAGTACCTGGAAAATGCACAACAAGAGAATTGTCCTATGAGCAGGGCATGTTGATTTTTACTAGGTATATTTATAATTGTTGGATGTTGGAATTATATGTTATATTTTGTATATTTTGTTATAAAGTATTGATTTCCAAACTTTATAACTAAATTGAAAACGGAGCAAACTGTTGATCTATTATTATACATTTCTAGTACAACTGCTAATGATAATTTAGATACATTTGCAATAAAAATATTGTATCATCAATTTCTAATTCAGCTGCATTGAATTTTTTCATAGTCTTCTCTATTTTTTCTAAAATTTCTCGCTCAGGTGGAGTAATCATATCTTCAATCTGCAAAAAATATACAAATGAGATGTTATAAATTGGTATAATATTTGAATGTGGGAATTGTGATCAGAAACCTCAAATGAAAAATAACCCTCACATCTGATAGCTGTTCCTCAGAAGCTCCTTGTACCCTCATACCCATGGCAATTGTATCCACTCTTTGCTTCTTATCAATTATCCTCTTATTGATATCCTTTTCATGGTTCCTCCTAGTCATTGTATTGAACAAGGTTTTGTAACACAATTCCAAAGTCATTCTCACAACTTGATCTAGCTTTATATGGAACAACATGAAGGATTTTGTTGGACCACCACCTGCCAATATTGTCAGAATAAATCCAATGTGTTACCTCTTTATAAAGTAAAATAAAGTGATGACACTAAAGGTAAGTGTAGATTCAATTCCAATGAATTTTTTATTATCAATTCAAATTCTATTCAGGACTACCCTGGGTACTACCATAAGCTCACATTTAAATCAAAAAGTGTTAAGGATTTTAGAAACATTTTCATCAAAATACTGGTTCACTTAAGTAATAATGGAAATTGTGAAAATATACTTCATAAATATATCTTCCATAGAAGTAATTATGAACCTTCTTAGTCTCTAAAAAGGAATATGTTAATTATACCTGTTGCAGCTTTCCTCAGTTCTTGAATCTCTAAGTAATTTTCTTCTAGAAGCTGATAAGTCAGTCTTTTAGCCTCTTTCGCTGGTATCATGGCTTGTTGTTGAATATGGTCAGGTTCTATGTACTCTTTGAGTTTGACAAGGCGAAAAATGCGTGCAGCTTTGGTGTCAAATTTTTCAAAAACACATTGCTCTACCAATTCCCAGGCAAACTGTGTGAATGCCTGTCTGAGGAAAATTTGAAAAGAACCCCCACTGGCCTCACCAGATTTTCTTATCAAGTTGCTATGATCCTCTTCTACAAGAAATATATTCATTACAAACTAGATGGAATTAATTTCTTTCAGACTCAATAGATGTTGATTTGTTAATACTGTGTAGCATAGTGTGTAGTATGATTTCTAATAAGTTTATGAGTATTAGATGACTTATAGACATAATTAAACATTTTTTGTACTAATAAATAGTTGTAAACTATTACCCACTCACCACAATGTTATCCACTTACAGTGAAATCCTAGATAGATGAACTTACTTACCTATTAAAGTTACATACTGATCAAAAAAGGCATTCAACTGAGATAGATTCTTCTGTTTCTTAGCCAATTCTTTGATTTCTAGAATTGGAATTGGATTTGAGACATCAGCCCATGGTTCAGTTCTTATATACATCTGATTCAATAAAAAGTTCACTAATTCACCAACATTGTCATCAAATTTTTTTGTGAATGCAGTAACAATAATTTTATCACGCATATCCTGGTGAAATCTGTTGAAATTAACAGTCCAGTAGATATTCTTATCTGCAAATTCACTGTGTTCAGCAGATTTAGCTCTTTTTAGAGCAGCCATATCAATAGTTGGCACTGAATGAAGCTCTTTTCCATCTATTCCTAATTCAGGAACTGGCTTATCCTCACTTTGACTAAATGGTAATCTTACTAAATATTTGCTATTAACTAGAGATACAAACTGGTCCCTGACTTGGACAAGAGATATATTATTACTCTTTGATATCCGCTCCTGGACTTTGAGAATCACTTCAGAAGCTGTCCAGTATCCTCTTTGTAGAATTTCTTCAATAATCATCTCACATTCATCTCCAAACTTCTTTTTTATCAAGTTCATATATTTTGGATATCTCAACATGAGCAGAACATTTTCAGGTTTGAAGGTATAGTTTGCAATATTTTCATTCCTATTGGGTTTGAATGAAACTAAATTGTATTTAATCAAAATTGCCAGAGATTCCTTCACCTACAACAATACATATAATGATACTAATGATACCACATGATAGTAAAGTAAGTATTGTGATTATTGAATTATTTGAATTAAAGAAGGTTATATTATGGTAGATGATTACCTTAGAGAGTGGAAGTTCTGTGTATTTCCTAATATGCAACAGCGGACTAGACCCATATTGAAATAAATGAGTGGCCACTTTTTCCACAACCATACCAAATCGTTCAAGTAATATGAGACTCAACACCTTTCTTACTTGAGATGACATGATTATTACTTTATTTAAATGCTACACTACTCCCAGTTATTATTATTATACTCCATAATAATAATTATACTCGTAATTACATGTACAATAATATAATCACTTCATGACTTTCATTAGATGAGTGAAAACTAGTGAAAACTGAAAAATCATGTAAAATTGGATAACTGTGAAAAGACGTTAGGTTATGTTTTGATGTTTTGGTTTGTCTATGGTTTTGATTGTTTGATCATGGTACAGGTAAAAACTGAACTAAAAAGATAAATAAAGCTCGAGAAGAAAACGATAATGACTTCTTCTTTTTTTTGGAAGTGTCTATTCGCACGCAGTGCGTGCACGGTTTCAATGTACCTCCAGTCCAGCAGGTTGGTCATTGTCCACGCGACCTCTATTTCTGATATCCTTGAGATGAGATTTTCTAGAGTCACTGCTATAAGTACTCAATGTAGTTTGTAGTTGTGTGTTGTAGTTAACTTATAAACATCCCAGTAGTAGATAAAGATTTTCCACAGCATGCTACTAGTTTCATGACTGGCAAGAGAATCTCGTTTCTGCAGGTGACGTGAGTGACGTGACAGAAAGAAATACCTAAAAATCCTAAAATCTGTCCAGTCCCTGTCGTCCTGTGTCCTGTCCACTCCACAGTCCACACTCCACTTTCACTTTTCTGTATTTTGTACTTGTTTTGGGTTTTTCTAATTCAACCAAAAATCTATTGGAATAATTGGATGTTTTGGATAAATCATGGATCCAATCAGTATATTAGAGAAACGTATAGAAGCACTTGAGTTACAAATACTTCCCACCAACACAACTGTGATTTGTAATAAAACCCAGAATATTACAACACTTCTTCTGGAAACTCAAACAATGATAACTTCAGCCTTAAGTTGTCGGGAAGCAATCACTTCAATGTTACAACATATGACCACTATCAATGATTATTTAGATCCAGGTTCTGGAGCCAGTGAACTGGAAGTTGAAGCTAAACGTCAATATCTACTGGAACTATATCCTGAGTTGAAAAATACTGTACAGAGTATTGGGAACTTTGAACACCTCATGCCATACCTTGACTCTATCAATATTACCAAAATTACTGAGCTCTCAGGTAAAATAGAGCAGCTGGCTGTTAGTAATTTGACTACTTATGAAGAGTGCAGAAAAGTTACTCAGAATGTGTTGAAAGCCCTACAGCAGTATAATGACATTACATATTCAATTAAAACCTTGTTTGCCCAATTAGATACTGCTGTTTCTGCATTAGAAAATGGTCTGCAGCCCAGATTTGTTACAGAAGAATAACCTGATTTTGCATCATGAAACAATATGCAAGTGTACAATGAGGAATTGGACATTGAATGGAAGAAGAAAATATAGACCATAAGTCATGTATTTTCTGAAATGGACATTTGGCAAACAGTAATATCCACATATATGTCCAGGCTTGTATGAAATATGATCTGATCATTTAATAAAAAAATATGTGTTGAGAAAATGTAAGGGAATTAGGCATTGTGATTTTATGGTATAACAGGCTTTTGTGAAATTGTCCATGCAGTAATAAAACATAATCTGACATCAGTGATGACTATCTTTGTGTAGGCCATAGAGATTCAAAATATTATTTTTGATGATGAAAATGTAAAATGGATTGGACTGCATTTTCAGGTTGAGATAACTTTTCAAAGAAACTCTATATGTCGATCATATACATAATTCAATTATTCAATTAAAGTAAATATCAAAGCTGCCTGGCTTCTACTGAATACTAGATTTAAGATTTCTCTTTTCCATAGACCTGTGACATTCTCCTCCCTGGTGAATAAAATAAATTTCTTTAATTTAAGGAGATATTATTGTACCCTGGATTTTGCAGCTGCATCAAGTATGTCTCACTTCATCAGGTTTGTTAGGACTCTTGTCGGCAAAACGAGGTATAGGCAACTCAATATCTGCATCTTCTGTGTCAGTTTCTTCACATATCTCTCCTCGGCGTAGCTTTCCATTTTCTTGCGGTATTCTTGGGCTAGTACTTCATCTTTCTTGAGTTTCTGCCCATCACATTGATGTAATCTATGAAGATTACTAATTCTACTTGTAGTTCATTCCAGAGCAGCCAAATTTCGTACCGATTATCAACCTTCTTGATGTGTTTTATAATCTCTAAGGCGAGCTTCTTGTTCTTTCCGGCAGTTGACCCTCGTATAACTTACCCAAGAGATTCAGTGGGAAAATATTGCTCCACCATGTATTTATAAATTTGTTCGTTTCTTGGGTATTGATTCGTTTCTCTATGGTGAGAGCATCGGCAGAACAGGCCCGTCTATATATAAAGACCATCCCAATTCGCACTTGCGAAAATATTCTAACTTGCCTGGGAACCATTAGACTGATTTGTTTTGTCTGATGAGTATCAGTGTGGTCCATTCGCAAATTCTTTGGATAACCATATGCATTCCAGTCTTCCATAATGATTGTTTGTGCTGGCAACAACAGCTTGTCTACGGTCCGGACATTATTTAGGGTAAATTTCTTGGAATCAGTTCGAATTCCAGAGGCGTATGCATATTTTTTGGACATCTTTTGGGTCATTTCCCCCATATTCAATATATTTATTAACGACATACTCGACGGCATCGAAGTTAATGGTTTGCTATATGCTGACGATATGAAAATATTCCACAGAATTTCAACAACAAATGATTGTCAATTATTACAAGATAACTTGATAGAATCAACGAATGGTGTATTTCCAATAAGTTATTTCTTAATCCCGGAAAGTGCTGTGTTATGTCCTTCACTTTGAAATCTTGTATCATGTTCAACTATACCATTGATAATACTGACTTACAGAGAGCAGAGACCTTCAAAGATCTGGGGGTGATATTTGATCCAAAACTCTCATTTGTAACTCACATCGAACAAATATCGTCAACCGCCAGCAAATTCTATGGTTGTATAGTTCGATACTCCAGAGATTTCAAGGATACTGTAACTCTTAAAAGTCTGTATTATGCATTTGTCCGATCGAAGCTGGAATAAGCTTCGGTAATTTGGAGTCCTCATAATAAAACTCACATCGACAATCTTGAATCGATTCAGCGGCGCTTTTTGAAACTACTTTCTTTCAGAATAGATGGAGAATATCCAGAAATTGGCATACCACATACAAATTTACTTGAGAGACATTCATTTAGCAGTCTACAAACTCGAAGAGAGTACCATTCCAATGTAATACTTTTCAAAACAATCAACAACTCATGTGACTTCCATTATTTGATGCAAAGAATTCAGTTTCACGTTCCAAGAATGGCGTCCCGAGTGAATCGAACCTTTTACTTGCCAACTCCACGCACAAACATATGTAGAAACTCTCCAGTACAAAGGATCTGTAGAAATTATAATGATCGTTGCACAGCTTTTGACATTTTTCATACAACAATCCAGCAGATTAGATCTTTCTTTTTTTGTATTAGACAATAGTTTTAAATCATTATTCTTGTTAACTCATATTACTGTATTCTTAGTTCTTAATTGGATTTATTCTGTGAACTAAGTAAGTAAATAAATAAATAAATAAATAAATAAATAAATAAATAAATAAATAAATAAATAAATAAATAAATTTGAGTGTGGGAGTCCCCTCTGACTTCAGGGTATACCCACTATAAACACTCCACCCCTTTTGTTGGCTCGTCTGACCGATGTATCCGACGACACTTATATATAGGCCTAGTGGCCCATATTATTGGACCTTACCCACACGCAGACCCTTTTTGTTCAGGTTCCTGAAGATTACTCTTCCGATCCATGTTCTCGTTTACGAAGAAGGCCAAAAGTTTTCCTTCTCCTTCAAGTGATCGGGGTAGGGGTTGTTCCAGAACTGTAGTGCCCCCTGCGCATGGCTAAGGCTGTTTACTCTGAGATGTCGCCCTATTTCCCAGATGCCCCCTTAGCGACACCATACCTCGTTGCCATATATTCATCGCCACGGGTTCCCACAGCTTTGATTCTTTGATTAGGTTGGCAGAGCCTCGTTGACCAGTGCTTGGCTACCTATATAGATTTTTTTTTTCATCTCCTGGAGATAGCAAAGATGGTCCCAAAATGCTTCATCTGTCGAGCCGCCGCGGTCTGTCCTCACCACACACCCATGGATGGTGACCAAGGAAGGCCGATATAGGATAAATTGAAAAAGGGAGGAAGAAGAGTATAATACCACCCAAGACAAGTCGAAGTTTGGTGTATATGCATCTAGGGTACCTCGGCTTCACCAATCACCCAATCACCATTCCCGTACTCACAAAGTTGTGAGCCCCTGAAGGGAGAAATCCATCATAGTGCACACAGATCCATTTAGGAGCTCGTGCTTGCGTATCATTTCGGCTTGAAGAATCTAAAGATCGAAAATTCTTTTGAAGATGCTCACGATGGAAGTACTTGCACTCATCAATCTTGCCTTCTTGTCTTTTCCTGCATGTTAATTGTCATGTGATGTTCCTTCTTCAAACATGAGAAGCACATGCAACTGGTTGTCTGTTACTACCTTCCCTCGGGTTTCAAGATCATCGAAATTCAATTCACGAGAGCATGCTTCCTTTGGGTGGCCTCTTCTATTATTTATTCTGTCATCAGATACTTAATGAGAACTCACGTAGGACGCAGCCGGAGCTATGTCACCTAACCATTCGGAGAAATCTTCCAAAGATGTTCTAACTGCAAGCCCACTAAGCAAAGTAATAGCTCAACAATATTGCAGCAGTTTTTCAATGTAATGTGTAATGTTACATCAGATATTGTCGCAAACCTGTCTCATTTTCTGTTTCAATGGCAATAAAGTATCTTCTTTTCTCACCAGAATTGATCACGGGATTGGTACCGATATCGGTGACTGATTGTGTACCAAATCTTGGCCACGTGAAATTGGTAGACAAATTTTGGTGGACACCAGCGTTTTCTCTTCTCAATCTCTGATTTTATTTTTCCATATTTGCTTCACGTCGGGCTCGAAGACTGAAATGTTGTCGATGGACAGTATATTTAAGATTTTATTTATTTTTTCATTCATTTATTGAAAGCTAGCTGTACCCATTTCAAGAAAATAAAGACATTTGTTGCAGTCGTTCTGAGCTATGCGCGTGTATCTACAGTACATATTTTTTTGTTATTTAAAAAAAATATGCTCACCTTTAGCTACTATTATATACTTACACATATTTTTTTCAGTATATTTTTTTTGTCGTATTACGTATCAGAAATTTCAACCCAATCGGTCAAACCGTTTAGTAGTTGACGAACCGACAGCAGCGAGTTATATGAACGACATCACGAGTTAACATGGAATAGAAAACGCTCAATTTATACTCTGCTATTCTTGTGAGAAGCGCTGATTCAGACTTCAATATTTCCCAGATTTTGTGAACTCATTAAAAGTCAGTCTTGATATTGCTTTTATACTATTCACTTCAGTTACGAAATGAAACTTTTAAAATCAAATTCGTGGTCCGAATCCTTTAAGTGGCACAGTCGGTAGGATATTCCTTTGAGTATCAACTCTTAAACGAAATACGGACAAAGACAACTAGTGTTCATCTGTGGGACTCCGCCAAGGACAGCCGTTTGCACAACGACACAAGGGCCTATACGATGAGATCGGGGCTAGCGACACTGGTGATCGTGTGAGTAGATTATTTGTTCAGATCATGTCAGACTCCTCTGTACCTCTTGAATCCTTGAGCGAAATCAATCCGGCTTCAGAGTTAGAAATAGTTTACCTAACCTTGTATTGAAAGAAATAATATAATGGCTCCGTCAGCTTTAGATATGAAAAATCTTTGCATAATTTTACAATTCGATGGAAATCCAAATGAAATCGCCGCTATTTTCCAGAATACGCTTCTATTCAATGGAATATTGAACAAATTAGAAGGTAGGGCTGAAGAAGTTTGTGCAATTCATGGGGTCAAATCTTGGGAAGTCATTAAACATGTTTTGATGCAGATTTTTGGGAATCAGAGAGATGAAAATTGTTTGAATCAAGATCTAGTTAATTCAAAGCAAAAACCCAACGAATCGCCTTTTCAAACTCATGAAAAAATTATGCATCTTTTGAACACGATCTGTAATTATGTTAATTTGAACTGTGTAGAAGTTCATCGCGAAAAAGTAATGACATTTCTCTACGAAACAAGCTTTAAAAACATTCTTAGCCGTTTGAATGATCCACTTGGACCTACAATTCGTGCAATGAGGCCATCTACACTTGCTCAAGCACTTCAATTCATTACGGAGGAAGATAATATTAAATGATATACTATCAGAGATCAGGTTCATCATCACAAAACGGCCCTAATTTTGTTAGAAAACCCCATACCAATAATACCAATCAATCTTTCTACCAAAATCGCCAAATTGAGATGGAACCAGATGATGTACCTAAGACAGCTATCAATGTTGAGAACGGGTATTATGAGTATCTATATACAGATGCCAATGGGTATCAAAAATGCTCCTCCTTCCAGAGAGTGATGGATATAACATTCTACAAGGACTGCAGAAATATGTTTAGTGTATCTAGATACACACAGATATTCCACTTCTCTGCAAGAACACATAGTTATAACCTGAACAAAGTTTTTCGAAGACTCAGAGAAACCAATTTCAAATTTCAGATCGACAAATCCGAGTTCATGAAAAAAGAAGTGGCTATATAACCTTGGTCGCGTGGTAGTCTCTGAAGGCGTAAAGCCGAATCCCGATAAAATTGTCGCCATAAAGAAATATCCAATACCATATGAACATCTGAAGAAATCAAAGGATTTCTTGGTTTGTTGGGATACTATGGAAAGTTTATTAAAGATTTTGCTCGTATTACGAAGCCTCTCATCCTTTTCCCGAAAAGAGATGCTAAAATTATCCATTCACCTGAATGTATAAAATGTTTTGAAGACTCTTTCGACAAACGAACCCCTCTTACAATACCCAGACTTCTGGTACATTTTTTCTGAACATTAATTACATAATGATTCCTAATATGTGATTCCTTCACATGAATTTTGTTTGTATCTCTCTAGTAGGTACTCTTCGCAGTAGGTACCGGAAATTTTCAAGTAGTGATGCTGATGTTTACATGGTTTACATCACTAGAAACAAATGTCTACACATCTTCCTGCTTCCATTCAAGTATAGGTAGATGATTTTCATACTTGATAATACATTTTCTGATAATGTTTCATCTTCGGGTTCAACAAGAAAGACCTTCATATTCAAACTTTACACGAACATGAAAAATGTTTGGGTTATTTAGGAATAAAAAATGAATAACTTAGTTTACTTACTTCACGTAGATGTCACTGAGATACAGCTTTTTCAAGGTTGGTAGAACTGATGATTATTTTGTCATTACCATCAGTTCTACCAACCTTGAGCTATTCTTAATTTTTCTTTCCGATGAAAAGACATTATGTGGAAAGAATAATGGTTTTAAAAGATTTTCCTTCAGCCATTGATTAGGAAAAAAAAAACGATGAAATTCAGTGGAAACTCAATTTATTGGTTATCAGCAGGTATAAAGTTGATCATGACAGAATAGTTATTGAAATTTTGGATTCTAAATAATATAGTTCCTAATATTGAAGGCCAAAACTCCAAAAACACAAAATATTTTAATCTTGACATTCTTCTGATGCATACAATGATAATGAAACTCCATGGTCAAATTACTTATTTGTAGAACTCATGCTCACTCTCATCTTTTTTAATGTTATTCTTATATCCCTTTTCAAAGTCTTTGGGCAATACAATATAACGATTTTCTCTCACAGCATGCATACCAGCCTCTTGACAGATGGCATTGATATCTGCACCTGAAATTCTGTCCGGCCTGGCCACATAATCTTCCAGATCCACCTAAAGAAGATATAGGCTATAACTCCGCCATTTTCGAAGTTCCAAAAAATAATAGACACAGAAATCGGTGGGTGATGAGCATGAACAATATATCACAACAACAATATATGAAACGAAACTGGTATAGTCTTTGCAGTCACTTGAGACAAATTCACAAAAAACATCGTCAGCGAGAAGGGGTCCGTTTGAACTTTTTAAAGGGACAGGCGGACGTGGCCGATTTTTTTCTGATCAAGCTGTCCCAAGTGACTTTACAAAGCCTATAGCAATGTCGATTTTTGTCGAAATTCATCAAAGTACAAAAATCATAGCAACAGTTGTTATTTGAGAAAATAGTTTCATGAAGAAAAATGTGTAAAATACTCATTTGAACTAGTGTCAGAATAGTCCTTAACCATAAAAGCAAAGGTATCAGTTTGCTGTGTTGGTGGAATCATTATTTGATTTTTCATTTTTCATAATCCCATAATAGTAGCAAAGATTCATTTCATAGTAGTTTTTATAGTACAGTAGGGTAGGAGTGTGTAACTTGGAATATAATCATTAAATCTTCATTAGTAGTTCAAGTTGCCGTATTTGATGAAAACAATATGAACACAGAATGCAAATTTCAATTATGTTATCAAAAATGTTTTTAATGGAAAATGGCAACCCTCTTTTTTATTGACTATCAAAGATTTTTTCATAACTGTTTGATTCAATGAATTTATTCCAAGATATAAATAACTCGCACTGTATTTATCAAAACAAGAAATTAATGATAATATTATGTACCTCTTCAGACAAGTTCATCCTGGAGGTGATAGTGCTGAATATTAAACGTTTTTGTCTACGATCCGGCAATGGGAATTCGATCTTTCTGTCTAAACGACCGGGTCTAAGCAGGGCCGGATCCAAAGTATCAGCACGGTTTGTAGCCATAATCACCTAAAAATTAATTATTTCCTTCCAATGTGTCCAATTGTTTATTATCTTTTATATAAGCCAAGAGAATTCAAACATAAGCAAAGGAGGCATAGTAGAACAAGTGTGAAAATATAAGCATATATGAGAGTTCACAAAGGAGTGACACTACACCTTTTCCATTAATTTGAATGATACTTATAACAATTATCTTGAATATTGTTGCAACTTGCAACTGTTTAACTGTTACCAAGATTGTCTCTAGATTTTTTTAATTTTTTTAGAGTGTTTGTGGAACATAGTGCATAGGGAGGAGAATTCTTTCCCAACTTTTAGAGATGAAATAAAATAATAGTAGTAGTAGTAAAAAAAAACACCTTGACATTTGTAGTCTGATCAAAACCATCCATCTGGTTGAGCAACTCAAGCAAAATTCGCTGAACTTCTCGATCAGCACCAGTCTGAGCATCAAAACGTTTGGTTGCAATGGCATCAATTTCATCAATGAAAATGATTGCCGGTGAATTTTCTTTTGCTAGACGGAACACATCTCTTACCATTCGTGGACCTTCACCAAGATATTTTTGCACAAATTCTGAGCCTACTACTCTAATGAAGGCAGCTGTAAAAATGATAATATAGACCTCTCCAACTGGGAATGAAGTTGAGGAATTAGAGTTATAACATAATCATTAGCACAATATATCAAAAAACAAGATAACAATACAAAGAATACTATAATAAAAAATGAGGAATCATGAAACTGCTTTTCACTCATAAAATATAGAATTTTCATTGTGGAATCATGTGTCTTAGTAAATATGACAATCAATTTGTGTTCAACAACTCCTACATCCTATAGATTATAGATCCTATAAAAGTATATTAATATTTCAAGTATTAATTGGTAGAAACTGATATCACATATAGATGGCTTAGAGGTAATACTAATAATGTCAAATTTGGCAAAATCTCAATTCATACAGATATTTGTTCGTTGTCAAGTCAAGTACGTTACTTGGCAACATTGTGTGAAAGCAAGTGGTGCTTGGACCAATCTAATATATAAAATTCTCCTGTCCGGTGTTAGTGGTCGAACTCTTCCGAAACGGCTCGACCGGTTTGTATGAAATTTTTTGTGAGTATTCGGTAGGTATGAGAATCGGTCGTAATCTATTTTTTAAGTCGAAAATTCAAGATGGCGGATCCAATATGGCGGACGAGTATTGTTATCCGATTTCATTCAAAATTGGTATATGGGGATTTGCGGGCTCGGAGATCATGATTCTTTCGTCAAATTTTGGAAATTCAAGATGGCGGATCCAATATGGCGTACGAATTTTGTAATTGTGGTCAGATTCCATTCAAAATTGGTATCTGGGGGTTTTCGAGGTCGGAGATTATGATTTCTTCATAAAATTAGGAAATTCAAAATGGCGGATCCAATATGGCGGACGAGTTTTGTAATTATGATCCAATTATATTCAAAATTGGTATCTGAGGGTTTTTGGGGTCGGAGATCGTTGTTCGTTCGTCAAAATTCGGAAATTCAAAATGGCAGATCCAATATGGCGGACGAGTTCCATGATTATGGTGAAATTCTATTCAAAATTGGTATTTGGAGGAATTAGACGTCGGAGATATGAATCATTTGGCAAAATGAGAAAATTCAAAATGGCGGATCCAATATACCGGACGAGTTTTGTAATTATGGTCAGATTCCTTTCAAAATAGTTATCTGGGGGTTTTAGAGGTCAGAGAATATATATGATTTTTCATCAAAATTAGGAAATTCAAAATGGCGGATCCAATATGGCAGACGAGTTTTGTAATTATGATCCAATGATATTCAAAATCGGCATCAGAGGGTTTTCGGGGTCGGAGATTATGGTTCGTTCGTCAAAATTCGGAAATTCAAAATGGCGGATCCAATATGGCGGACGAGTTCTGTAATTATGGTCAGATTCTATTCAAAATGGTTATCTGGAGGTTTTAGAGGTCGGAAATATGAATCATTTGTCAAAATTGGGAAATTCAAGATAGCGGATACAATGTGGTGAAAGAGCTTTGTAATAAATAGTAGTTTGAAAAACTATAATGAAACACGCTTTTATATTATAACTCCAGACCAAACTGAATAGAAGTAGAAAATTGATGATATAGTTTAAAAAACGAGATAGATTGTGGAACTAAAAAGATGTAGGAAATAAAAATAGTAGTTAGAGATATGAATCACGATTTCATGGATATCCAAATTAAAAAGAAGTGCAAACCAAAATAATAAAAGTGTGTTGATGAATATTTAACTAAACAAATATTTTCTAGCAGAAAATGTATACAGGGTGATTCAAAAGTAAGCGGCATCCTTTCAGAGGCGTATTCCTTGCATGAAAATAAGGCAAAAAGTTCCTATTGATAAGGATCCGAAAATGCTTCCTAAGGGAGCTACGGCCCTTTGAATAGGACACCTCAAAGACGGTTTTTTCTCTATAACTTTAAAATCCTTCACAACAAATTTTTAAAAATTGGTGTACGGCATAAACATTCGATGGTAAATAGGACTCCGTATTCGAAATAATTTCCAAACGAAATCACAGTAACCTGAATATCCGGAGAAGAAGGGATATTTTTACACTTACCCTCTCCCGCATGTGACGCCCCTGAATGAAATTCTGAAATTTCGAATACGGAGTCCTATTTACCATCGAATGTTTATGCCGTACACCAATTTTTAAAAATTTGTTGTGAAGGATTTTAAAGTTATAGAGAAAAAACCGTCTTTGAGGTGTCCTATTCAAAGGGCCGTAGCTCCCTTAGGAAGCATTTTCGGGTCCTTATCAATAGGAACTTTTTGCCTTATTTTCAAGCAAGGAATACGCCTCTGAAAGGATGCCGCTTACTTTTGAATCACCCTGTATAGCAAAATAACGTGTGCCAGGTAACAGCATCAGCTATTGTAATAAATAGTAGTTTGAAAAACTAATGAAACATGTTTTTATATATAGCCAAACTGAAAAGAAGTGAGTAGATAAATGAAAAAAATGAAGAGATATAGAGTGTGGAACTAAAAAGAAGTATAAATGAAATAATGAGAGTTCTTTGATGAATATTTATGTAAAAACATGTTTTCTAGAAATAATGTATCAAGGTATCAAGCAAAAAAGTAGTCTTGAGCTTTGAGTATTCACACTCAATATATTGTATGGATAGTTTTTGAACCACATATTATGTGAATCATATAAGAGATTGTTCATTACTTGAAAATAGAATATTTCAAATGAATTCATCACATCAATCATAGTTTTATTCTGAGGAAATAACTCCAACATTCTTGTAGAGTATGATATGTGTTATTGAAGTTGGATACATTTTGATATTCAAAACTGACAGCATAGACATTATTGTTGTATCCTGAAAACTTGAAGAAAAGTTGATTTGTGTTATTGCTACTAAGTCATTGATATAATATTCCACACATTGTCACCTTTGATTCAATTTGCTTCACATTATCAAAAATGAGGATATCTCACATAAAATTACTATGGAGAAAAATCAAGTTTTTACTGCACCTGTAGTGTGATGTGCTACAGCCTTTGCCAGCATGGTTTTACCACACCCAGGTGGCCCATACATCAAGACTCCTCTAGGGGGATCAATACCAATCTGTTTATAGAGCTCAAAGTGTGTGAGTGGTAACTCCACAGCTTCTCTAATTTCTTGCTTTTGCATGTCCATGCCTCCAATATCACAGTATTGAACATCAGGCTTTTCATCAGCTCCTAACATACTTATAGAAGAATCTGCTTCAGGTGGAAGGACATCTACTAGTGCATTACTGTGTTTGTGTAAAGCAACACTGGCAGAAGGTTTTAGCAGTTCACGATCAATTGTAGATAGAATACGAACATAGTAGTTGGAACCTGTTGAATTTTAAAGGCATTATATGTAATCTCAATTGTTCTAATATGTTGATAAACTCACCAGTGGTAGATCCTACAATACCAGTGTTTTGATCTACAGCTTCCAAGAATTGACCTATGACTAATGGAACTGACTGAATGCGTTTCACTTCTTCTTGAGCATGTAGATACTCCTTTTTTAGATTTCTTTGTTCATCTTTGATGTACTCTTCCTGTACTTCCAGAAATTCAAGCATCTGTTGTAGTTTCTTATATTTTGTATATAGATCTTCTGTATCAACGTCTTGAATTGAAGGTTTAGCCTCCGAGGGACTTCCCTCGTCCTAAAATTCAATAGCTATTAGGAAAAAGTCATTCATCAGCTAGATAATTTAACCATTTTCTTGTTTTTCATTAATGGTACAGTATGAAGTTATGACAATAATCAAATATATCTTATTTTTTCAATACCTTTTCTGGAATAACAATATCCATAGCCTCCATTGTTATTAGTAGAGTTATGTTGATTCTCTTGATTCTTGATGACTAGCAGAAAAATATGACTGAAAAAGTGACTAGTGAGTAGTGACAGTCATGACAAGGATGTCATGACAGAAGATAACTAAAAGCGCTCAAACGTCTCTTGCCGCGAGAATTGACCAGCCCCGGGGTTCATCGCGGGAAAGAGAAGGACGTATAACTCGCTCTCGCTCAGATGAACCTTTTTTCTTGAAGAAGGAGAATTTTTCTTGAGGAAGGAAAATATTGTTTCTGCATAAAAAATGAGAAAACCTAACCTATCTATTTTATGAGTATATCTGTACTTGTTTCGTTGACCTGTGTAAAACTTAATGTTTATTAACACCAAATAAAATATTCTATTCTATTCTAACCTAACCTAACCTAACCGAACCTCACCTCTGGCCTAAACCACAAACATAGAAAACCCCTAAATGAACCTATTTCCCATAGAGAATATTTTTTAGAAATCACTTGAGAACAAGAAAAAAATAAAAAAAAGATGAGCCTCGCACGGATTCGAACCCCGGCCCGCCGGCTTGGCATGCCGATGCTCTGCCTACTGAGCCAACCAGTTGCTTACGAGACGAAGTATGATGAAGTACTGCCCACTATAACGTTCTCCCACGAGTGAGAGGGCATTATATGTCCTTCTCTCTCCCGCGATAAACCCCGGGGCTTGTCAATTCTCGCTCTCTTGCCAGTAATTCAATTAGTAGCATGCTGCCGTTCTGCGGAAAGACTCCATTTGCTCAAGCAGTGAGCTAGGTTTTCAGAAGATAGCAGCAAAGAATAGTAGGTCCCCCTCTCCTCTTTGGTAGTAGTATTATGAGGACGAGGACATTTCTGCATGGAAAAGGAAACTACTTTTGACCTCTCGGCCGGAATGAACCTATTTCCTGAAAAGTATATTCTTACGAAGAATTACTTGAGTGAAAAAAAAATTGACACCTCGCAGGGAGTTGAACACGAGCCACCGCTGTAAAAGTGAGATGGACAGCCAACTGAGCTTTTGCGCTTCTCGAAATTTTATCTATAAAAAAGAAGAAATATCGTGTGTTGGCGTTGGCTTGTTTATCACAATTTATTGAAAGATGTACTTTTCAGGAAAACGGTTCATCTTGGCCGAGTAGGCTCATCTTTCATGCAGATACGATATTATTCTTCCTCAATCATCACCTTATTATAACCTTCTGATAACCTTGAGATTTACCGCAGCACAGGAGCAAGCTACTATTCGAACGACTAGCGAGAAACATAATAGGCCTGTTCGTTTGTGTATGCTCTACCTTGCTGCTGAACTGGATTTTTTTCAATGACTCTCTCTGTTTACATCATGCCTTGAACAGAGACAACTATGGAAAACAATCAACTTCAGCAATACAAACGAACAGGTCTTCATGGTCATGTTCCAATATTGCTGACATTTTTGGCCACAGGAAGCAATTCAGGAACACTATACAGTAGCAGTTGCTTTGAATTTTCATCTGATGTCGGAATGATTTTGGTAGTACTGGTACCCTGGCAGCACACATAACCTATGATCTTTCGATTTTCGATGTTTCGTTTCGTTGGTTTTTATTTTCATCATTCATATTATTATCTTATTGCTCCCGAATGCAGCTCCAGTGTTGAAGAAATGAAGCATGGCTGTGAAATATTTTATATCGAAAGTGGGAATAACAAACCATCTTGTAGATTAATGGCAGTTTCAGCGTCTATTGCCTCTGTGCCAGTAATTTTCAGTAAAATCGGAACGGTACTGTCCGGGAATATCGGAACATATGGCTCTTTGTCGAGTTGTCATTGACATCATGTCATCTGTCAGTAGTTTCTTGAAGGATGGTTTCCTGCTTATCTGTCTATGTCAGAAGTCAGAATCTGAAAACTGATAGGGATAGGTTGTTGTTGTTGATTGAATTTGCTTATGCGAGTTTTTCCTTTTTTGTAACAATTTTAATCCACTTCTACAAAGTATAAACTACAAATTATTCAATTGTAATAACAGTTCGGTGGTATATTGTCGGAGAATTAGACTTATTTGAGCCATATTTCACCCTGTACTCTGTGATCTATGCCCTAAGCTTCAAGTTGGGGGACTGAAAACTGATCATGGAAGAGACATGGAAGAAGTCCTAGGAGCTAGCTAAGAATGATAAGAACAGCCTAACTATCGACTTTCCAATATCCTAATAGCCACCTTACCTAATATTTATTGTGGAACAAAACCTGGATCCATTAAATGACTTAGAGATTTTATTATTTGAATAAAGATAAGTTACTGTTTTACATTATAAAGGACCCCACAAGGCGACTACAAGGCATCTGAAGTGATTAGTAAATGGTCTGGAAGAAACTGTTTATGCCAGCTGAAACTACAGGATTGTAATTATTTCATAATTATGATGTAGTGAAAATTATTTGTGAGTAAATTATCTTCACTCTTATCTGAGGAATTCCCAATGCTTATTATAATTGAAAATTGATTTGAAAAAAATATTTCCTCCATTCATATCATTTACTTGAATTTCAGGTTTTTAAATTCCCAGAAATCAAATACTCAACAAATAATGTCAGATTTGAGAAAAACAGTATTAGGGCTTCATGCCAAAAGATCAGGGTCAGTAGCAACTCCTCAAAGTTTTATCCCTACTAAATGGACTAAATATTTTGATAAGGAAGAACAAATCCAAATCCCAAATGGTACTTTCAATTTGTACAGCAGAGGCAAGAAAGGGCCTATTTTGTTATGCCTACATGGTGGTGGGTACTCTGGACTGACATGGGCATTATTTGCAGAAGAGATAATGGAGTTGATAAATTGTCAAGTCATTGCCTTAGATCTGAGAGGGCATGGTAAAACAACTACTAATGATGATGCTGACCTTTCCTTGAATACTTTATCTAATGATGTTCTGGAAGTGGCAAGTAAGATTTCAGAAGAAAAAAAAGATCCTATTATTTTAGTAGGTCACAGTATGGGAGGGGCTGTGGCAGTAGAAACAGCAAATAGTTTGGAATCAGCCATAGGATTATGTGTTATAGATGTAGTAGAAGGAACTGCTTTAGATGCATTATCATCTATGCAAAGTATTCTTAGGGGACGCCCCTCACATTTCAAGAGTATTCCACATGCTATCCAATGGTGTTACAAAGGGGGCCAGACTCATAATCTTGAGGCAGCTAAAGTATCAATGCCTGGACAAGTTATTAATGTGAAGACAGAAAATTTAGCTGCTGATGAATGTGACAACATAGATCCACAAGCTATTGAATCTTTGATGAACCAGAGAAGTACAGCAGGATCCATGAATTCATTAACTGAAGTGGCAGAAGAATCAGAAGAAATTGAAGATTCTGAAAAATATAATGATTGTGGAAAGCCACCTCTTCCAAAATCACAAAGGACTGATCTGTTCAAGAGCCCAACATCTATGAATTCAGAAGATGTGCCCCAGTATAAATGGAGGATTGACTTGAGCAAAACTGAGAAGTTTTGGACAGGTTGGTTCAAGGGATTGTCTCAAAAATTCCTTGGCATTCATGTGCCTAAATTATTATTATTGGCTAATATCCATGGTTTGGATACTGCTCTTACTGTAGGACAGATGCAAGGCAAGTTTCAAATGCAAGTTTTAGCTAAATCTGGTCATGCTATTCATGAAGACCAACCCCATAAAGTAGCTGAGGTTATGAGTGGGTATCTAGTAAGGCAGCAGCTAGCTACTGGGAAGGATTCTTTTGTTCATCAAGAACATGTGGATTAGTTTCATTGAATTCAATTTCTTTACCCCTTTTGTATCTCAATTAGGTAATTATTTATTGCATTTCATTGTTGTTTATAAGTTCACAACTTTTTTGCTGATTGACTATATAGATGACACCTTTTGATGAATAGTGAATGAAAGCTTTGAAACATTCAACAAGGGAGGAAGGAGGTTGTATAATGTATAAAATCATGGGGTATGATGTGTACTCTGTATATGTCATCATTGTCATCTGTCATCTTACCAGTGAGGGTGCTAAACAATGTTAGATACATTTTTTTAATCCTTTTTAACCAATTTGAACAGTATCAATATATTTTTTTTTCTCAAGATTGACAAAAATTGAAATTGTTTAACAGACTTATTTAATATGCATGTAGGTATGTTGAGATTTAACAAGGAATGTGAAATCAAATAAAGGTTAAAATAATCAAAATGAATTTAAAGTGGTTAGGTATGTCAGGGCTTAGGACTCCTGGAAAATGTCATAAAAGAAACAGTAATTTTCGGGACTAACTTGCCGTCACATGTGGTTACATGAGCAGTTACAGAGCTGAACCATCCCCTGCTCCAAAATAGAAAAATGTCTGGATTTTGGTTACAATCAACAAGTTTCAGTTTCAGTATAAAAATCATATTTTGAGGTATATAAAAACTTTGAATGTGGACATAAAAAAGTGTGTTTAAAATGTATATTTTGTTGGATTCAATTTTTTTTTACAATTAAAATAGAGAGGACCTGAACAATGAAATCTTCTCCTTCATCATCCAAAAATACATTTATTATTTCAATTTCACTTTCACAAGACATTTTCTTCAAAACTCAGCACTATACTAACCTCCTGAAAATTATGGAAATAAGTATATTTTATGGTGATGGTCTGATGGTGCGCGTTCTCGGCCCTTTTCACGATTTGAGAACTTCAAAAAAATCACTGGACTACTGGACCGCTTACTACTACTACTTTTTTCCGCTAGATGCTGATGTTGCTATTGCTGCTGTGACAAGTGTATCGAGGAAAAATAATATGGCAAATGGCATATTAGATACGTGGAACTAATGTGAAAGTGGGTTTATTTCACTCTTAATTCGAAAAATCTGCAGCAATTTCAAAATTGACAGATGTCATGATTGTGCAATGTCTCCATCTATGAGAAGATCGCCGGAACTTTGCCGGAACCATTGTTTTCCAGAGATCGAGAATTTCTGAAACAAAAGCGCATCAGTAAGTACACCATCTCCTGAAATAGGTTACTTGTGGTTTGTGAAAAGTTTCGGTTGGCATATTGTGACGTCATAGAACTACGTCATCGATTTCCCCTACCTTACCATTCCTCGTGAAGAAATCACAAAGTAGGGATTAGTCTGATTTGGTGAGTTTTGGTTAGTCACGAAAATTACTCTCATATTTGGCAAAAAATAGACTTCAAAAGTAGATTGAAAATTCACACACATCTCAATCATCTCTGATTTTGGTTTTGTGTATTGGCATCCCTAACATGACATTGCTGTCACGACGTCATATTCATAGGAAATTTTATTACAATGATCTCCATCTCGTGATCAGAAGCAAAAGCCGGCTGCCGGATACACCTAGAAAACTTCTATCGCCCGTCAGCTTCTGAAAAGCTAAGCGGTATTCAAGTTTTCTCTTTGGTTACTTCAATGATTGTAGCTGTGAACAATATCGATAGATGGCAGCACGACTAGATATTTTCACGGTTGGTAGAATTGATGATTATTTGTAGTCAATTCTACCAACCTTGGATATTTCAAATTTTTTGTTTTGTTCTTCAAATATACATATACATGAAGATTAAAAAAAATGTGGCCCCCTTGCTAATGTAGGTAGAACGCATGAATCCATTATTTTGCCCCAACATCGACTAACTTCTTTCTTGAGAAGAAATATTCTCAGAATCGTGATTGGGTTTTCTTAATTCAGAATTTATTTCCATTATACCTGTATGATGGAGAACAAAACAGCATACATAAAAATCAATTATTCCTTCATACTTACTATTAGTTTCAAGTATCCGAGTGGAGCATTTGATAGTGCATCATCCGACTTCGACGGTCAGTTTTTTTCATTCTGTTTTCTCAAGTGATTTTTCGAACTGCCATAAAATGTTGACGACAGTAATTCGCTATTTTCAGCGATGTTTTTCTTACAGGATCAGCGAAGCTCTCGGCTGGAAAATTTCAATAGACTTGATTCACCCCGAGGGGTTCGTCAATCCTAAAAATCGTGTACACCATTGCCCCATTGCTGAAACATTGCCACGAACTGCCGACCACTGCCTATCATTACCCACCACTGCCCATCATTGCCGACCACTGCCCATCATTGCCGACCACTGCCTAGTACTGCCGACCACTGCCTATCATTTCAGACCACTGCCTCAGCATTGCCGATCACTGCCTCACCATTGCCGATCACTGCCGTCCTCTGCCTATAACATTTGCCGTCTTAGTAGAGTGCCAATCGAATCCTATCGTTCACCCCGTGGGAAATCGGAGATAAAAAGCTGTGACATGGCTAGAATTGTTACCTACCATCTCCAGATCATGGATCCACTTGTCGTCAAAAAATCGTCCTGTGCGTTTGGGGGGTAGGGGGTAATTTATAAAAAAATATGGATTTTTTTTTATTCGTGGAAAATATTTATGGATTTCAGAATTTCCACCCTGTTGAATCTTGATTTCGTGTGACAAGTAGAACAAATTATAGAAAATTTTGAAATTTACTAATTACATTACGATATATGAGAGAATCATATTTCAAACGCCTATAACTCAAAACTTGTAAATTCTCGTTAAATTGTTTTTCATATACCTCGCATTATCTCAGTAACTACAACGTTTATCAAAAAAATACTTCAAATAATGTCGATGCGCCTATGTTTCAAGATGCGAATGGTTCTTCGATTTTGAAAATCGAAGCATAAATAAGGAAGATATTGAGAAAATCATAATGCAATGCAGGTACCACGGACGAACGCGTTTCGCCGCATTCGTACCCCTATTCTCCCCGCAATACCCGCGGCTATCATGGTTCCATACGCTTTCGTTATACACATCAACATTGAGGCGTTGACCATTGCATTTAATGGTGACTTATTGTGAATCAATTATTCGATATTTGGTACTGTGTGCTCTGTTTCAATAATTAAATAAGTATTGATTAGCTAACGAAATCTATTATTGTAAATTTATCATAAAATATATGTTTCTCCAGATAAAAGATGGAAAGTACTAGCAATTCAGACACTGATCTTGAAGTTGAAGATTCCTTTCCAGCAGAGTACAGAATCATCGAGAAAATGTTTTATTTGTGGAAAAAATGGTTGTACAGAATTATCGATAAAAACATTTGAAAGTTGTATGAATATAACGGAATATAAGAATAAACCTCGGGAAAAACTATGCGAGGCAAATCGATATGGAACTTCAGAGAATTGATGATATTTTCAATGAAAATAAAGGTCAATCGATCTTCTGGCACAGGAATATTGAAAACTGGAGACAATAATGTCAGGAATAAAACGCTTTCTATAGTGAAATTGATGTGAAGGTATTTTTGATGTGTCTAAAAGAATTTTCTACCAAAAACGTTCAAATAAGAGTCAAGTTTCGACCTAGTATTGACTACCAACATTGTTTATTGCCATGGAAGTCAAGTATCATAACCAATGCTTCGTATCGAATTGGAAACATTATAGAGGATCACCTCGAGGATCACTGAGTGAGAATAAAGTTGTCATACCACACAATCATGACAAATAATTTGATAATCTGATAAAATTAATAGATGGTGCAGATTTTCTAATGAAAAAGGGTATACTTTCAACTGTTTATATCAAAAATAATATGCCAAACTTGGTGGCAAAACTGGTAGGAAAATTTTAATCTAAGATTACTGTCTGTAGGTTAATCGAGAAGGTGAAACATTAATTTTACTTGATTTTTTGGGATTTCCTCTCCTCGTTTCTTTGGACGTTTCGGCAACGAATCTGCTCCCGTTCTCAACATGAAAATGCAACTTCCAAAGAAAAATGTTTTGCATTCTTATGTTGAGAACGGGAGCAGATTCGTTCCCGAAACGTCCAGAGAAACGAGGAGAGAAAATCTCGAGAAATGAATTTATTGAAGAAATCAAGAAGCACTACGACAAGGAAATAGAAATTATCAAATAAATCAAAACGTTCTAATGAGTCGTAATTTGTGATTCCAAAAGTGACAAAAACTCATCTGATTCATACACATATAAAGAACAAAGTGAAATTACAGAAGATAACTCCCCTAACTTTGTATGCATCAGATATGACCCAGATACACAATTTTTTCCGAGATATTTATCAAGATATGAGAGATATTCCAGACTATAAACAACTCAAAAATATGGATCTCAAGGCTTACAAGGATATGATACCAAAAAACTTCTTTTAAATTAGTTGCCTTATACACGATAAACTTGATTCAGTTGATTCAAAGGTGTTGAGTCGGTGTTGAGTATCTGATGTCAAGGTATAATACTCGCTAATTCGAAATTCAAAAAACTCCCACCGAAACACGTTGGTTTGGGAATAATGATTCATCAAGAGACATGATCGAGAAAAACTATCGTAGCTTTGTGTTCTTGTGGACACTGTATCGTATTTACGTGTATTTACAACTTCGCAATTCGATAGGTATCAAATAATGTTTTTTTCAAGTTTCCACAAGGATATCTTATTTTTATTTCAATATTATATGCATCATGTTTTGTTTCAATATTTTTGTCAATTTGTTTATAAATGAGATGGTTGACATTATATACTCTGATGGATAAGAAATGTACTTTCGAGATAGAATCATTCATAAAATAAATGGAGGGCACTTCCAATCAAACAGCAAGTTAAAATAAATTTCTGTTAACTTTGAAAATAGCGATCAATTCCATTTCTCCCGTGAATTCCAAGATCGTAATATTCTGTAACACTCAGTAATTCATATTTACGGTGATCGTACTAGGACGGCTGCGGGCGTTGCGGGGTGAATCGGGGTATGAAAGCGGCGAGTCGCCGTCCTTCGTACTACCTGCATTGTATTATGATTTTCCCAATATCTTCCTCATTTATGCTTC